GGGCAACAGCTATTTGGTGTAAGATATAAAAAAGTGATTCAAATTTTTAATGACCAGTTTGGCAGTATAGTGCATATAACTAGCTATCAGTTCAGATATAGGGATTATGTGTTTTTATCTGCCAAGAGTATCTCCTCCTGCTGAAAAAGCTTTTTCCCTCTCATTTATACAACACTGTCCTATATATTATAATCTACCTATACTAATTAAAGGGTAATATGCTAACTAGACCTGGTCAACTGGCCATCTTCCAGATGTCTGACTTCCTTCTGGTCAAAGCCATGGTGGTGGAGGCTGAGGCAGAGGCAGTTAGGGGCAATTAGGCTGGCAGGAGAGAGCAGTTAGGGGCAAGATCAGGTTGGCAGGAGAGGGAATTTAGGGGCAATCAGGCAGGCAGGGGGGCAAGGTAGGGGCAATCAGGCCACCATGGGGGCAAGATAGGAATGATCAGACTGGCAGTTAGGGGCAATCAGACAGGCAGCCAGAGAGTTTAGGGGCAATCAGGCAGGCAGGCAAGTGGTACACAGTACTTTTAATAGTACATAAAACAAAACAACAACAACAAAAAATAAATGATTCTAAAGAACTAAAATATTGATATATATATATATTATTGATTTTTTACAGAGAGGAAAGGAGAGGGATAGAGAGCTAGAAACATCGATGAGAGAGAAACATTGACCAGCTGCCTCCTGCACATCCCCCACCGGGGATGTGCCTGCAAACAATGTACATGCCCTTGACCGGAATCGAACCCGGGACCCTTCAGTCCACGGGCCAATGCTCTAACCAGTTTTGGCTTCTTTATCTTTTTAAAATATATATATTTTATTGATTTTAGAGAGGAAGGGAGAGGGAGAGAGAGAGACAAACATCAACGATGGGAGAGAATCACTGATTGGCTGCCTCCTGCATGCCCCCTACTGGGGATCCAGCCCACAATCCAGGCATGTGCCCTTGGCTGGAATCAAACCTGGGACCCCTCAGTCCACAGGCTGACGCTCTATCCATTGAGCCAAACCAGCTAGAGCCTTCCTTATCTTTAGAGAAACAATTTTTATTCAGTTCCTGCCCTGCTAAGAATCGATCTGGCTCCCACAGGTCTCAGGGTCAAGTCTGACCTCCACCCTGCCCTCTGCAACATCTGGAGCTTGCCCCCCACTCCGGTCTCATCAGCACCACAAACCCTAGCCATGCCCCCTATGATGCCATGCTTGTTCACCCATCTGTACATCCAGCAGCTACCTCTTGAGCTTATCTGTGCTAAATCCCTGTTCTGGGAGCCAGAAACTCAGCAAGGAACAAGACAGAACAATTCCTGTCTCGGGGAACTGACATCTTCCTGGTCAAGACAGACAAGAAAGGAAGAAAATAGTAGGGTCAGATTTATTTAAATCTGCAAGGAAGAAAAATCAAGCTACACGAGGGATAGCCTTTGGTAGGGAGGGGATGAGGCTTGCTTCAGGTGGAGATGTAGTAGGGAGAAGATTTCTCCGCAAAAATGAGCAAAGACGGAAATGAAGTGAGGAAGAGGGAATGCCAAGATGAGAAGAAGCACTGCAAGCAGAGGGGACCGGTAGTGCAAAGGCCCTGGGCTCGAGGGGCAGGAATGAGACCATGAGGCCACGGTAGAATGCTGAGGGGCAGGGAGGTAGAGCAATCAGGGCAGGCCAGGTTCTTCCTCACCCTCCTTTAGGCCTCTGCTCCTCCTGTTCCTTCCCCCAGATACCTTTTCCTTTTTATCTACTTTGCAAATTCCTAATTTGTCCTTCACGGCGCAACGTCAGCGCCATCCTTTCTGCCTTCTCCACATGGAGGGACTGCTTCCTCACAGCCTTCACAGGCCTGGAATACCTTTCCTTCTTTCTTTCAAAAATATATTTTAATTGATTTCAGAGAGGAAGGAAGAGGGAGAGATAGAAACATCCATCATGAGAGAGAATCATGGATTGGCTGCCTCTTGCAAGTCCCCCACTAGGGATTAAGCCCACAACCCAGACGAAACCGGTTTGGCTCAGTGGATAGAGCGTTGGCCTGTGGACTGAAAGGTCCTGGGTTCGATTCCGGTCAAGGGCATGTACCTTGGTGGCGGGCACATCCCCAGTAGGGGGTGTGCAAGAGGCAGCTGATCGATGATTCTCTCTCATTGATGTTTCTAACTCTCTATCTCTCTCTCTTCCTCTCTGTAAAAAATCAATAAAATATATTAAAAAAAAAAAAAAAAGCCCACAACCCAGGCATGTACCCTTGACTGGAATTGAACCTGGGACCTTTCAATTCCCAGGCTGAGCCAAACCAGCTAGGGCTGGGACGCCTTTCTTTTCACGCTGCGTCCACTCGCTCACTCCACAAAGATGAAATGAGATCAGGCCAGGTCCTGGGCCATTTCAGAAAGGAGTGACATTTAAAGTAAACAAAGCAGGCCCTGGGGCCAGATATGACAGGGCATGGAGGTAATCCGGGAAGGCCTCTCAGAGGAGGTGACATTAAACAGAAACCTAAGTAATCAGAAGAGGCCAGCCTTGAGGACGTGATAGAAGGGCACGGCAGGCCAGGGAACAACCAGTGCAAAGGCCCTGAAGTTGTTAGTCAGGTACGACTACTTGAGGAACAGAGGGAAGGTCAGCGCTGCTGGGTGGGGTGAGGGCTCTGAAGGAGGGAGGATGTAGCTGGACAGGTGGTTAGAGGCCTGATATTAATAGAACCACCTTGAGGACCAGGTGAGGAGTGGGAGGTTGTCCCTCTGAGCTCTGAGCTCCGGAGAGGGAGAGATTGGAACAGGTTGCCCAGGAGGCAGCGGTTGGGGTGATTTCCAAGGTCCCAGAGCAGGATGGAGAGGGGCCAGAGCAGCTGCAGTTATCATCTTTGGTTGAAACTGTACAATAAATCCTTGGTCTTTGAGTTTCAAGCCTGGAGCCTGACTGTTTCCAGCGCCATCGGGTTGGCATCCATAAATAATCACTGAGTAAAGGAACGCCGGAGGGTTGTAGCGAGAATCTGGCGGGTTTCCCCAGCTCCATCCGGGGGGAGAGAGCCTAGAACCTGGCAGGCAGCATGAGGCCCATCCCTAGTGGAGGGTGGCCCAGTCCCTGGGCTGGCTCGGAGCCTTACTCTGCCACATCCTCCCCATCTGCAAAATGGGAGGGCTGGAGGGTCCCAGGAAGACACTCTGTCCCTGAGGACAAGGACCATAAACACAATTTGGGGGAGTGGCTTCGTTGCGAGTCCGTTTCCTCATCAGTAAATGGGGGGGGGGGGGGGGGCAAGAACTAGCTCCAAGGGTTCCTTCATGGAATCCATGAATATTCGAGAAACAGCCAGGAAGCCAGTGTGGTTGGAGGGAATGAACGGTGGAAGGTGGGAGGAGAGGAGAGAGGAAGGGGAGGGGGGCAGGTCGTCCAGGCCCTTGTGGCCCCTTGGTTAGTTAGGATTTGGGTTTTTACTCTGAAAAGGTGGGAGCAGTCAGGGATCTGAGCAGAAGAGGGAAGTGAATGGACACAACTGTTGGAAGACATCCTGGGTCTGTTAAGGGGAAAACAGACTCTGAGGCGGTGGGCGGAGCTGAAAGCATTGAAAGGAGCCAGCACTGGGCGGGAAGGGGGGAGGGATGGAAAGAGAGTAGACCTGGTGGGGACCTTGGGAAGGGAGAGAAACGGGCAGATCGCTATCATTTCTCCTCCCTCCCTTTCTTCCCCAAAGAGTTTGGCACAGGAGAGAGAGAAAACATCGCGTCCTGGCCTCTGGGACGAGGCGAACCACGTACCGCCGCGAGTCACCAAGGTACCCGCCACTCGGCGGGATCCCGGGAGGGCGCCACTGCGCGGGCACCGCCGCCAGGGGGCGCTCCCCGCCCGGCGCCCCGGGGACCGCCGCTGGCCCGGTCGCCTGGTTGAAAAGAGAATGCGGGTGGGCCGCGAGCCAAGCTGCACTCCCCAGAGGCTGCTCCGGGAGGCCGAGGAGAGATTCCGCCTCCGCCTCCGCCGGGGCACAGTGTGCATCTATGGAGCACCAGCTGCATACGGCAGCCCCGAAGGAGAGACCGGTCCCCATGTTACCGCGCGGAAAGCCGGCTCAGCTGCCATAGGATCCAAACGGCCCAGAGAGGCAGTGATGGATGGAGTTGGGATCCAAACCCCTTTTCATAAAAAACGGCAATGATAACCGAGGCCTGTTTGGCTCAGTGGATAGAGCGATGGTCTGCGGACTGAAGGGTCCCAGGTTCGATCCCGGTCAGGGGCATGTGTCTTGGTTGCGGGCACATCCCCAGTGGGGGGTGTGCAAGAGGCAGCTGATCGATGACTCTCTCTGATCAATGTTTCTAACTCTCTATCCCTCTCTCTTCCTCTCTGTAAAAAAAAAATCAATAAAAATATATTTAAAAAATAAATAAATAAGTCAATGATAAAAATGACGGCAGGTAGCATGTATGGCGCGCTTACGGGCTCTCAGCATTTGGCCCGCACTCTCTCCTTTTATCAACACCCGAGGGAGGGGTGGGTAAGGCCCATTTCACAGATGAGGAGCTCTTAGGAGTTTGGGGCTCAGCTCCTGCTCTCCCCCCCACCCCCGCCATACCCCCAGGCATGGGGCACTGGGATTTGAACCCAGATCTGCCTAGAGCTTGCCCGCAGGCAATGGGGGGAAGGGGGTTCCCGTGCACTTAAACCTGAGTTCCGGTAAGCCGAACGGTTCCCGGAGCCTGAGCTTGCACACCCAGGGAGATGATGAATTGTGTGTTTTTTTAGGGGGGTGGGTCCCGGGAGACCCCGAGGCCGCCCCCACGCCCCGCTCCGGCCGCGCCCACTCTTTTTGGGGTGTCCGCGCCCCAAATGGGGGACCTCGGAGCGGAGCGGACCCAGCAGGGCGTGGGGAGCGGACGGAGCGCCGCCGGGAGGGAGAGGGGGCGCCGGGAGGGCGAGCCCCGCCGCCCGGGGGCCGCCGGGAGCCCCGCCCCCGCCCCGCCCCGCCCCCTCCCCGGGCGCCGACCTCGCGGTCACGTGACGCCCCGGCAGCCGCTGGGGCCGGAGGGCGCGGCGCGCGGACGCGGCGGCGGCCTGGTCCAGCGGGGCCGGAGCGGAGCAGGCCGAGCGGCCGCGCCCGGGCCCGGGTCCGCCGCGCCCGCCCCCTGCCCGCCCTCCCCGCCCCGCGCGGGCGCACGCGCGCTCCCCCGCCCCTCCCTCCGCGCGGGGACCCCTGGCGGGCGGCGCGAGGACATGGCCAGCGACGCCGTGCAGGTAGGCGCACCTGCCCCCGCGGCCGCCGCCGGGCACCGGGCGCCGGGCACCCCCCGAGGCCAGGGCGGCCCGGGCCGGAGCCTCCGGAGTGCCCGGCGTCCCTCCCCGGGGCCCGTCGGGTGGAGCCGGCGCGGCCCGCTTCCCGGCAGGTGGAGGTGGGCACCCGGCGAGCGGGGAGGTCCGGGAGCCCCCGCCGCACCCCGAGCTCCACGCCCTCCCCGGCCATGGGAGGGGGCGCCGCGGAGGTGCCCCTCGGGCTGTCCGAGGCTGGCGGAGCGTCCCCGTGCTCGCCGCCCCGGCACTCGCCTCCCCTCCCCTCCCCCTGGGGTTTGGTTCTCGGCAGGTGGGCAGGTGCCGCTTTCCCGGGGGCAGGTGCTTGGCCTGGTGCCTCCGGAGGGGAGGAGGCCTGGCCCGGCCCCTCCCGCACAACAAAGCTCCGTGGGCCCGCCTCCGGGCTGAGGTTTACGAGGGTCCCGACGCTCCTCCGATTGGCACCTGTTGGCAGAAGTGCCCGAGACACCTCATTAGGTGGGGGGACGGGGAGCCCCCAGGGCCACCCTCTGGGCTGCCAGGTGGAGCCTCATCCCAGCTGGGAATACCCGGGGCAACCGGCTGGGGATTGTCTCCTACCTGGAGTCCTACCTGGGCATGGGGAGCAGGGCTGGGTCACCCCCCCCCCACGCCCCCTCCACACACAGGCACAGGTGACCGATGCCAGTCTGCGGCCCAGCCACGTCCCTGTGCCACCTTGTGGACATGACAGCCCTGATCTCACCACCCCCCACCTTTGACAAGCAGGGCCAGGGGTGACTTCTGGCCTTTGGTTCAGTGACCCAAATCTGAGACACGTCCCCTCAGTGCCTCGCCATCTCAGCGTCGTGTGTGGTGCCGTGTAACCAGGTTCTCGTCTCCTTCTGCACCCGCCCTCCGTCCCCTCTGTGTCTCCCCCACGTCCCCTTGTCCCCCACCCAGTCCTGCTGATGGCCTGCCGGCCTTGCCGAGGAGCTGGGCGTATTTGGTGTTGCAGATCACACAAGGTCAGACCTTGGGGCCGGGGAGGGCCAGGGTCCCTGTCTCTCCCCGGGGCCCTGAGAGGGCTGTTCAGGAATCCCCGTGATATGATGCATGTGCTTGGTATGCACCAGACATGACCGTGACGGAGGCTGTGATTCCTGGAACGAGGCTGGACCTGTGTCCTGGTTCCCCTTCCCACCCCTTTCCCGCTTTCACCCCCTCCCGTTCATCCTTTTTCCTTGTGGCTGCTTGGGCCTGCCACCCTGGTCCCCTCTGTCTGTCCCAACGTGTGCCTGTCTGTTCTGTGTCCGGCAAACGGATGTCCTGTCCAGATTCCGGAAACGCCCAAAGCATTGAAATCTCCGGACGTGGGGGTCTAGGTCCCTGGTTGCTCTCGGAAGAGGGGAGGGTTCTGGGAGGTAGGCCTGAGGTCCCCCGCTTCACAGTGGGAGGTGGTGCAGCCGGGGATTCTCCTAAGCCTGGGCCCGGCCCCTGACTCACGGGTTCACCCTGCTCGCCCTCCAGTGACTCCTGCCTCCTGGGCAGGAGTGAGTCACTCCAGGGAGAACCCAGGAGGTCAGGCCTCCCTTCCTCCCTGCTCTGCCTCAGCTGCCGGAGGTCAGCTGCTCCTCTCTGCCTGGACCCCCTCTGGCTGCACCCCTGCTCTGCCTGCTGGGGGCTGGGAGGGGCTGGGTGGGGCTGGGCAGTGGGCACGGCCTGGCTGGGCGTGGGTGGTAGTAGATGTGACCCTGAGTTTAAATTCCGGCGCTGTCACTCCCCTGCCTGAGTCCCCACCGGGTGCCTTTGTCTCTCTGAGCCTCGGTTCTGATAGAAACGTGGGACCGAGAGGGTGTGTTCGTGGTTGGGAGGAAACGCCGACCAGCACGCTGCCAGGTGGGGCTGCTGCGAAATCCTTCCTGGCAGCCCCAGTCAGCAGCGCAGGGTGTCCGTCTGTGTCCTTTCACCCAGTTTCTCAGCTTCAGCACTATTTTTTAAAAATACATTTTTATCGATTTCAGAGAGGGAGAGACATCAGTGATGAGAGAGAATCATTGATCGGCTGCTTTCCTGCACACCCCCTACTGGGGGGTCGAGCCCACATCCCAGGCATGTGCCCTTGACTGGATTCGAATCCGGGACCCTTTAGCCCTCAGGCCGATGCTCTGGCCACTGAGTCGAACCCGCTAGGGCAGCCTCGGCGCTGTTGACATTCGGGGCTGGATCACGCTCTGAGGTGGGGACTGTCCGGTGCTCTCTGGGTTACTGAGCAGCACCTCTAGTCTCCACTCACTAGATGCCAGGAGCACCCCGTCCTCACCCCCAGGCGCGACAACCAGACGTGTTTCTGGGTGATGTCAAATGCACCCAGAGGTGGGCGTGCAAAATCCCCCACCCTCACTGAGAACTGCTCTGCCATCGCTCTGAGCCTCAGTGTCCTCCCCTGTAAGGTGGGGAGAATGATGGCAGCTGCTCAGGATCCATGTGAGTGAGGGGTGGGGGTGTAGGGGGGTGGCTCTTCGCCTGCCATACTCCCTCTGTGGGGGCAGCTGCCCCTGAGGTTGGTCAGGAGCCAAGGAAGACTTCCTTCATCTGTGAAATGGGATCTCTCAGGCGGGGGTAGGGGGTAGGAGGGAGGTAGGGGGGAAGGAGCCTGTACTAGGATACTGGGCACTCCTGCTTTCAGTCCCGGTTCTGCCTGTGTTGGCCGTGAGACCTTGGGACAAGTGATGTCACCATTCTGGGCTTCAGTTTCTTCTTGAAAAATGGGAGTGATAACATCTGTAATACTTTCAGCGATAAAGATACATTTAGCCGAAACTGGTTTGGCTCAGTGGTTAGAGCGTCGGCCTGCAGACTGAAAGGTCCCAGGTTCGATTCCGGTTAAGGGCATGTACCTTGGTTGCAGGCACATCCCCAGTAGGAGTTGTGCTAGAGGCAGCTGATCCATCCTTCTCTCTCATCGATGTTTCTAACTCTATCCCTCTCTCTTCCTCTCTATAAAAACTCAATAAAATATATATTTTTTAAAAAGAAAAAATAAAAGAAAAAGAAAACAGGGTGATAATAGCACCTGCCTCATCAATTGCCCTGGGTACAGCTTGTTAGTAACTACTGTTATTGTTACTATTCACGTCATACTTGAGCCTCAGAGAGCCACTGGTTTGGGGTACCCTCACCCCACCCCTCCAGTGCTGTTTTCTTAGATCTCAGGGAGGTGCCCCTGCCAGGCCAGGCCCCTGAGGCCTCCAGGCTGCAGTCAGCAGCAGTGGGCACCCAGAGGAAGCAGGAAGTTGTAACTGCCTGCATCTGCAGGCAGGAGGCTGGCTCGTGTAAACAGCCATGTGCATTTGCATATCAGTGTACACTCGTGTTCTGTGCACACACCTGTGGGCACGTGAGAGGGTGCATACCGCCAAGTCGGTCCCGGGAGCCTGTGTACCCTTGGGGGAGCCTGCCTCCGATTCCTTTCAGCTGGGGGCTGAGGAGAGAGGCTCCCTGGGTGCACAGAGCCCCGGAGCTGGCCCAGCGCAGGGGTTGCTGGGAGCTAGCAGGAAAGAGGAAGTGGCCAGTGAGAGGCCCTGGTAGGGCTGAGGTTCAGGAAGAGGGCAGGGCCCTCAGCCGGGACCCAGGATGGCGGAGGCTGATCCCCCCTTGGACCAGGAGCTGGAGGTGGGGACAGGGGCCCCTGAGGGAGGAGGGCAGAAGGGGGACCCCAGGCAGCACAGGCCAGAGACTCTGCTCTTGGTACCCCTCAGCTTTGGGCAGGAGAGAGGGGACAGGTTGAAGTTTCTGTTTGGGAGGTGGAACTCGCCGAGGCCCTGGGGGAATCCCGCGTCAGGGAGATAGAGGAAGAAAAAGAGGGTGCTCTGCCCTTAGGTCCTGGTTGTTGGGGGTGAGAGGAGGGGAGACAGGGACTGTCACTGCGACCTCCTGGCTTGGGGTGTAACAGAGGAAAGAGGAGGCCAGCCTTGGCACTTACCAGTTTGAGGCAAGGCAAAGGGGAGAAAGAGCCTGTTCTCGGGACCCCAATCCCATAGTTTTGGGGGGCAGCACAGGCCCACCCTTGATTCTTCCTCGATTGGGGAGCAGCAGAGGGAAAATGGGGCCTCCTTGTCTGGAGGGACAGCAAAGAGGAGAAGGGGGTCTGTCCACTGGACCTTGTCATTTGAGAGGGCAACGAAAGGGAGGCAAGGCCTATCCTTGGGGCCCCCTAGTTCGGGAGAGCCTGTCCTAGGGGTCCCCCCTAGTTTGGGGAGCACAGTGGTGGGGCAGTGGGGCCTGTCCTCCAGAATCTCACCATGTAAGATGAAAGAGGAAACAGAGAGGGGGCCGGAGACCGGGATGCCAGGACACAGGCTTTATTGGAGAGAAGGGTACCACTGCCGGCTGCTTCCAGAGAGAGAGAGAGCGGAAGAGAGCGAGGGCCGGGGTCCATGTATTTTTAAGGGGAGGACAGGGGACGGGGCTTAGGGCACTCAGCACACGCCGATTGGTGGTTTCATGTAAGGTCTACGGTTAGGGATTTAGGAATTGGGGGGTGGGGGACTTAGGGTATTTGGCAGGTGCTGGTGGATGGTTCAGTGCTCAGGAATGTCTGGCCGCAGGTGGGGTTTCCGTCCGTCCGTCAACTGGAGGAAGGGAGGATCTATCATAAGAAACAGATAAAGGGAGACAGGACTGTGCCTGTGGGGTTCCTGAGGCAGGGCCTGTCTCACCTCCGGTTTGGGGGTCAGAGGATGCGGAGCGGGCCCTATCATGGGAGCCCTGGGCCGGGAGGAGGCCAGCGTGGCTGCCTGCGTGGCCTTCCCCCCACTTTATCCTCCTGCCCTGCTGACCCTGCTGTGTCCCCGCAGAGCGAGCCCCGCAGCTGGTCCCTGCTGGAGCAGCTGGGTCTGGCGGGTGCTGACCTGGCGGCGCCCGGGGTGCAGCAGCAGCTGGAGCTGGAGCGGGAGCGGCTGCGGCGGGAGATCCGCAAGGAGCTGAAGCTGAAGGAGGGGGCCGAGAACCTGCGGCGCGCCACCACCGACCTGGGCCGCAGCCTGGGGCCCGTGGAGCTGCTGCTGCGCGGCTCCTCCCGCAGGCTCGACCTGCTGCACCAGCAGCTGCAGGAGCTGCACGCCCACGTGGTGCTGCCCGACCCTGCGACCGCCCCCCACGGTGAGCAGGCCTTCCCAGAGCGGGCGGGACTGAGCTGCGGGACCCCAGAGGGAGGCTCGCCCCATCTCCGCTGACCCCCAGGGAGACACACTCGGGGACAGTGGCCTCCACCCTCAAATACGATCGAGCAAACATCAAAACCGACACCCAGAGAAAGGACCAACATCCAGAGACTTACAGCCACACAAGTACCCCAAACCACACACAGTCACACCAACACCCGGACAACAGCCAAGGACCCACACACTATCATGCGAATCCTAGGAAGGCTTCAAGTCACCACAGAATCCAGAGACTTCCGTGCTGCCACCCAGCACCCAAACAGATGCACACACAGTCACACCAACCCCCACAAATTCACATAAACACAGCTGCCTAGCTCTTCCAGACGTACACTGTCCTATCAACAGCCAGAGACTTGTATGCATAATGGGACAAGGCTTGAAGACCCAACACCACTTTCACCAACACCCAGCCTTCCCCTACAATAGGCACATCATCAGCTAGGGACCCACACTGTCGTGTCAGTGCTCTGAGACAGTGAGTTAGGCCAACACCCAGAATCTCATATGGTCACATCTACACCCAGAGTCACTCCCACCGTCACATTACCCTCCAGGGAGTCACACAGAGCCATGCCAGCTCCAGAGTCATGAGTATCCGGCTGTGCACACCCAGACCCTCAGGCACAGTCCTACCAGCACCTGAGATCTGAACATCCAGTTGTGCCAACAGTCAGAAACGTGCTAGGGTCGCCCAGCACCCGGATTCTCACACAGCCCTTTTTCTTCTCTCTCTTTAATGTTTTCTTGATTGATAGAGAGAGGGGAGGGAAAGGGGTAGAGAGAGAAATATTGATGAGAGAGAAACATCGTTGATCAGGTGCCTCCTGCCCGCCCCTACTGGAGATAGAGCCTGCAGCCTGGGCGTGTGCCCTGACCCGGAGTGAAACCAGCAACCTCTTGGTCCATGGGTGGACGCTTAACCTCTGAGCCACACCAGCCATGCTCACCCAGTCCTCCCACCCCTGCCATCCCACACGTTACACACACACCTAGGGAGACGCACACTGGCTTCCTCATGCCACTACCCTGTGGGTCACAGGTAACCACATCCACACCCATGGCCCCCGCACAGCTGTGTGAAGAATTAGGGGTCTCTGTTCACAGTCCCACCAACACTGAGGACTCGAGCACACCTGACACTTGCCCACGCCCATTCACGCTGGCCCCACCCTGGCCCTGAGGGGGTTCCCTGAGGGGGTTCCCTGAGGGGGTTCCCTGGGTGGCCTGGGGTGGTTGGATCCTCAGGGCCCCTACCTGGGGTGGAATCCGGGCTGGACAGAGGGCAGGTCCTTTCAGCCGGGCCACACCTCCTGGGCAGACGGAGGCGAGGGCCCTGGTGACTCTGTCACTCCCACCTCTCTCCAGATGCCCCCCTGTCCCCTGGTGAGGGGGGCCCGGCCTGCTCAGCCGCCAACCTGAGCCGCGTGGCTGGTCTGGAGAAGCAGCTGGCCATCGAGCTGAAGGTGAAGCAGGGGGCAGAAAACATGATCCAGACATACAGCAACGGCAGCACCAAGGTAAGGCACACGCTGGCACCCCCATGTGCAGGCATGCTCTTGAATAGTCCATGGGCAGTGGGTGGGAGAGGTCGGGGGCTAGGGGAGGGCAGGGACTGATGGGGGGCTGGGAGGCAGGACTGGGGTGCAAGCAGGCTCTAAGGGCAAATGAGTGACTGTGTGAAGTCAGACAGACACACGACAGAGACTGTCCTCCACACTTAGTTGTCCCCTAGAGATTTGGGGGTGTCCATGGTCAGGCCCACACAAAGCCACTCACTGCGAGCGGCATCTCTCCGACACATGTCAACACAGGTCAACACCTGGATGTACACGTCATCATCCTAACATCCAGAGACATCCAGATGCATACTCATGTCATAACGTCTAGTCAGTCATAGCAACCCCTAGACACACACACCCCATCGTGTTAGGGACACCACCTAGACCCACAGGTAGACCATTAAACTCACATCTAGAGACCAGAGTTTTCATACAGATCCCCCCACCCAGACCTATGACGGGGACAGTCACAGGTCTGTCTGTCCCAATACTCAGAGACACTCACACAGGCAAGCAGTCAGACATGCTGCTACAGACATTGTTTACCCATGCTCATGTACACGCGCGCGTGCACACACACACACACACACATACACAAATATTACGTGTGAGGAAATAAACTACACAGATTATTTTTCCTGGCTTTTATTGAGCCGTAACATACATAAGTGTACAACCCAATGAAATTTTACCTGTGTACACACCACCCCCATCAAAATCCAGAACATTTCCAGTCACCCAGAAAGTTCCCTCCTGCCCGCTTCAGCCAATACCCAGGCTTCTGCCACCACAGGTTAGCTTTGCCTGGTTTTGAAACATAGCACAAAGTGGATGGGAAAATCCACAACCAGTTTCTTCTTCTTATTTTTTTTTAATATGGAATGCTTCACGAATTTGTGTGTCATCCTTGCTCGGGGGCCATGCTAACCTCTATCGTTCCGGTTTTAGTGTATGTATGTGCTGCCGAAGTGAGCATGACAGCCGGTTTCTGCTTGTACGCACAGAGGGCCCTGGGCTGTGCCCAGTCATTGCAATACCTTAACTGCACACACACACATCTGGAGCCCCCTGATAGCAGACTGTCTCACACACCCTCCCGTCACCCTGGGAGACTCACCCACGTGGCTACAGGCAGGGCCACACCTGCCATGGGGACCTGCATGCGTGCTAACAAGCTGATGCGAAGACAGTGCCCGCTGGGGCCAGGCACAGCCCTGAGCTCTTTGTGCAGATCAGCTCCTTTAGTCCTCAGCCCCGTGCGGATCGGTGCTCTTGGTGCCGACCCCATTCCTGCAGACGGGGGAAACAAGCCCAGAGAGGTGGTGCGGCTGGCCTGAAGCCACACAGCTGCAGCAGAGCCAGGATCAGGCCCCCTGGGCTGCACCACTCCCTGACACCCAGGAACACCCAGACACTCTGTCACACGGTCACCCAGGCCTGCACTGTGTGGACAGCGGGTCCGGTGGTTGGACCCCCAGCTGTTCAGCAATCCTCTCACGACCGACCTCTGCCCCCAGGACCGGAAGCTGCTGTTGACGGCCCAGCAGATGCTACAGGACAGCAAGACCAAAATCGACATCATCCGCATGCAGCTCCGCCGGGCGCTGCAGGCCTGCCAGCTGGAGAGCCAGGCGGCCCCGGAGGAGGCCCAAGGTGAGCCCCTCGCCTGCACTGAGGCTCGCAGCTCAGTGCTCAGCCCCTGGAGGGCGCCCTTTCTGTGGCAGAGGGGTGGGTGCTATGGCTCACTGTGTGACTGGAGCCTATTCCCAACCCCCTCCGGGCCTCGGTTTCCATTTTGTCCCACTTGAAGTATACCCTAGATCAGATAGTGGCAGACTATCGCCCACAGCCAAATCTGCCATTGCTTTCCTTCCTTCCTTCCTTCCTTCCTTCCTTCCTTCCTTCCTTCGTGAATTTTTATTGGCGCCCAGCGATGCCCGTTCACTTACTATCATCTAAGGCCAGCTTTGCCCTGGGACAGCAGAGCTGGGTGGTGGCAACACAGCCTGTGTGGTCTGCAAAGCCAAAAGTATTTATTCGCAATTTTTATAGAAAAGATGGCAGACATCTGGACTAAGTGGTTGCCTTGTGTAAACCTGTGGGTGTCCACAGCATGTGTGTCTCTGTCAATGAGTGCCTGCGGGGCGTCTCAACCTGACTGTCCGCCTGAACTTGTGACAGGGTCTTGATGTATGTGTGACTGTGCTGCTGATGTGTGTCAGCATTAATGTGCCACAGACTGTGGGGACCATCGGTTGAGTGCATGCCCTGGTAACTGTGCTAGTTTGTGTGTCACCATGACCGACAGCGGAGTGTCAGCTGCTGGTGGGCGTTAGGGTGTTTGGGCTGCTATCGCAGAACCATAGGCTGTGTGGCTAAGGAACAGAAATTTATTGCTCACAGTCTGGAGGCCGGAAGTCCAAGAACAAGGTACTCGCAGTTCCAGTGTCTGGTGAGGCCCACTCCTTGGTTCAAAGATGGTGTCTTCAAGCTGTCTTCATGTGGGGAAAGGGGGGAGGGAACTCTCTGGGGCAGGGGTCTTCAAACTACGGCCCGCGGGCCACATGCGGCCCGCAGAGGAGTCTGATCTGGCCCGCCAGGTTTTTTGGGCAGTGAGCGCAGCCGAGGTGTTACAGTAGGAATTAGTAGTTCATATAGTCCGGCCCTCCAGCTCTCTGAGGGACCGTGATCTGGCCCCCACTTTAAAAAGTTTGAGGACGCCTGTTCTGGGGTCTCTCTTACTTATTTATTTACATATTTTAAAAATTTTTATTTTTATTTTTTATATATATTTTTATTAAGGTATTATATGTGTACATATCTTTCCATTGCCCCCCAACCCATACATGCCCTCCCCCCCGCGAGTTTTTCGTCCATTGTAAAATATTTTTTTTTATTTCAGAAAAGAAGGAAGAGGGAGAAAGAGATATAGAAACATCGATAATGAGAGAGAATCACCGATCAAGCTGCCTCCTGCACGCTCTCCACTGGGGGTTGAGCCCACAACCTGGCCATATGTCCTGATTGGGAATTGAACCTGGGCCTTCTGGTTAATAGGTCAACGTTCAACCAATGAGCGCGCCAGCCAGGCCTGGGGTCTTTTTTATAAGGGCACTAATCCCATTCATGAGGGCTCCATCCTCATGATCTAATCACCTCCCAAAGGTCCCATAGGGGCTGGGTTTCAACATAGAAATTTTGGGGAGTCAGATACATTCAGACTAGTTGTAGGGCTTGTAACAGAGATGACAATGTGTGTGTGTCTTTGTGGTGGGGAGGGTGTCAGTATGACTGTCCATGTGATTGTCTCTCTGTATTGTGAATATCCTTGTGGGTTTCTCAGTGATGGTGTGTGATGGGGTGATGATGGTCATACACCTCTCGGCGATACGACCTTGGGGACAGTATGAATTTGTCCTGTTGTGTAAAAGTCTCAGTGATGGTCTGAGTGCCATGAGACATCAGGCCCAGAAGAAAGAGTGCGACTGTGTTTGTAAGATGACATGCCTGTGAATGTCAGGGTTCCCGTGGCACTGTCTGTGTCGTCGGTGTGCAGCTGAGTGCCATACACCTGTGGGTAATGGTATGACCCTGTGACTGAGTGCCGGGGTCTGAGTCTGGCATACAGGACAGCGAGACTGGGGCTGTTTCCCGTCTTTTGCTCTTAGAAGGCTGCCATGAATAGTGTACCTATGTCAAGACAGCCCTGGATAAGTGTGACCATGGCCTTGTGCCTCTGGGTGACAGTTTCACACACACCGTGTGACCGTATGTCCTGGTGCCTGTTCCTGTGGCTTTGGGTGGCTGGCTGCTTCCTGTGTCAGTGACTTCACACTGGGTGTGACAGCCGGCTTTCCTGGCATTGGGTTCTGGTGACACTGCCCTGCAGGCCTATCTCTGTGCCTTATCTACGTGGCCGTGTGGTTACATTCTTCTGGTTTTCCCGGGGCTGGAGGTAGAGTCCTGGGAGTTCTGCCACAGAGTGACCGGGTGTCTTAAGGGTCTTGCGACCATGCCCATCCGCCTCTGGGACAAAATCGGGTTGTTCGCAGTCGTTTGCTCTTAGAAGGAAGGCTGCCATGGAAAACCGCGTACCTCTGTCATGGGCAGAGGTGCTTCTACGGGACGGAGTCCCTGAATTGGGATTCCTGGACCAAAGAGTAAATACATTGGTGATTTTGACAGACATGGCCAAACTGCCTCCCATGGAAAGGCACCTTGTATTCCCAGCAGCAACGAATAAAAGTGACTTAAAAAAAAAATGTCCTGTGTTTGTGTGACCATATTCTTGTGGCTGTCTGGTTGTCCGCGGCGCCCCCATGAGAGTGCCTGGGGATGGTGTGGGATCCTGACAGTGCTTCTGTCCCTCCGTCTGTGTGGACAGCATGCCAGTGTGTGTGAATGCCCAGGGTGACGGCCGCTGTCCCTGAGACCACCCTTGGGAGCGACAGCGTTTGGATAAAAGCGCCTGACCACCCCTTGGGTGACACTTGGTGCATGATGGTGGTGATGTGTCCAGGCCAGTACCAGTTGTTATGGAAGGCTGTGTGTGCGGGCTGGGTTGGCTGCACCGGGGTTGGTTGGTTGGACCTGGATCCCAGTCCTGGATCCCGGCCCGCCTCACTGCCCTGTGCCCTGTGCCCACAGGGAGCCCGGAGCTGGGGGCGGTGGAGCTGCGCATTGAGGAGCTGCGGCACCATTTCCGAGTGGAGCACGCGGTGGCCGAGGGCGCCAAGAATGTGCTGCGCCTGCTCAGCGCCGCCAAGGCCCCTGACCGCAAGGCCGTCAGCGAGGTGAGCAGCGGGACCTCCATGTGAGAAGGCGGGGCCTTGGCCTGGGAGTGAGGGGCGGGGCCTCCACGAGGGGCGGGGCTTTGGCCTGGGAGGGATGGGCGGGGCCTCTATGTGAGGGGGCGGGGCCTTGGCCTGGGGGTGAGGGCGGGGCCTCCATGAGGGGGCGGGGCCTTGGCCTGGGAGCGCTGCGGTGAGGCTTGGGGCTTTAGTCCCTGCGATCAGATTTACTTTTCAAGGGTAGGACTCAGGGGTTTAGGTTTGGGGTCTCAAGGGAAGAGGGGCCCTCGGTAGGACTTAGTCGAAGGGAAGGGCCTGGGTTTGCGCTTGATGGGCATCCCAGCCCAGCTGTGTCCCCAGCGGCCCTGCTCCTCCTCCTGCAGGCCCAGGAGAAGCTGACCGAGTCCAACCAGAAGCTGGGGCTCCTTCGAGAGGCGCTGGAGCGGCGGCTTGGGGAGCTGCCCACTGACCACCCCAAGGGGCAGCTGCTGCGCGAGGAGCTCGTGGCGGCCTCGTCTGCAGCCTTCAGTGCCCGCCTGGCGGGGCCCTTCCCTGCCATGCACTATAGCACCTTATGCAAGCCCTCGCCGCTCACAGGTGGGTCCCCCTCCCCTCCCCGAGCCCACCGTACAGCCCTGGACTCCTGACCCCTCAGGGTCCCAGCCCCAAGACCCCACCCACCCACCCACCCAAAGATCCAGACTCCCATCCCACTGTCCTCTCACTTTTCCATTCACTCCAACCCTCCAGCCTGGGCCCCGTGTACCCTGGACTCCTGCCCCACCTTGCCCTCTGATTTTAGACTCCTGTCTTACTTTCCCCACCTCCCCACCCAGCTCTGCCTTTTTTCCTGTAGCCAGTCCCTCAGTCCAGCCACTCACTCTCGGAACCCTCAGCCCTGAACCTCTGTCCCTGCCCCTGCCCCCGCCCTCCTTAGCCTGCTCAGCCGCTACCTCACCACACCAAGCCTACTGCAGGCCTCAGCCCTGCCCCGGACCTCCAACGGCCTCTGAATCATGGCCTAGTTCTGCTCTGCTTCTAGCCTGGGCGTCCAGCCTACACGCTTTTCTGTCCTAAACCCGACACGCAGAGCCCCTCCCCAGCCTGGCTCCTGCAGCCTCCCCCTCCCCCTGGTCCCATATTTCTTATTTCTGGGCACAGCCATCCTGTATCAGACCCCCTGCCCCATTCTCATTGTCTTTCACCAACTCCCACTTGCGTGCTGGCTGTTTCTATATTTATACCCACTTCCCCGGGGCCCCCTCCCTTCGACCTGCCCCAGTGGTGGCTCCCTCCTGAGCTGACCCTCCCGCAGGGACCCTGGAGGTGCGTGTGGTGGGCTGCAGGGACCTTCCGGAGACCATCCCCTGGAACCCCACTCCCTCCACGGGGGGGCCCGGGCCCCCGGACAGCCGCACCCCGTTCCTGAGCCGGCCAGCCAGGGGCCTCTACAGCCGGAGTGGAAGCCTTAGTGGCCGGAGCAGCCTCAAAGCAGAAGCCGAGAACACGAGTGAGTGGCCTGGAGGGAGGAGGCGGGGTGAGGGCCCCTTGGATATCCCGTGTATCACACTCTCACGTCACACTCATAAGATGGGCACCGGAGAACCAAACAGCAGGTGTTAGGGAGGGGTGGAGAAACTGGAACCCTTGGGCACAGTTGGTGAAGATGTGAAATGGTGCAGAGCTTCAGAAAATTAGGCAGGGGATTAGCATTGGACGCAGCAGTCCTACCGCTGAGCACCCGCCCCACAGGGTGGAGAGCAGGCTCTTGAAGAGGCGTCTGCACACCTGTGTTCGCAGCAGCATGACTCAGCAATGGCCAGGAGGTAGAAGCAACCCAATGGCCATTGAACCAGGTCGTGCCGAGTGGAATAAGCCAGTCACCAAGGACAAACGCTGTGGTTCCACTTGTGTGCGGTGTCTAGAGTAGTCCAGTCGTAGAGGCGGGAGGAATGGTGGCTCCCAGGGCCGGGCGGGGGTGTGGGGGGGAGTTAATGCTTAATGAGGACAGCGTTTCAGTCGGGGCATAGAAAGAGTTCTGGAGATAGACGGTGGTGACGGTCACATAACAACGTGAAATACCTAATGTCACGTGCTGAACACCTAAAAACGTTTATGATGGTAACTTTTATGTGAATTGGCCACAGTAAAAAAACCACTCATATACTAGTACATGAAGTATGTGTGACGAAAAATAACCATAGGGCAGGCATTCATATATCCGCCACCCAGGTCAAGAAATGGAACTCTGGAAGCGGCCTCAGTTCCCTCCCCAGTTCTAGCCCCTTCCTTCTCTGTCCTAGAAGTAGCCACTCTTCTGACTTCATGGTTATCTTTTTTTCCTTCCTTTTTTGGTTTCCTTTGTCATTTTAGCACTTCATATATTGTATGTGGAAGCACACAGAATGTATTCCATATCACTGCTTTTTTCATTCAACATTGTTGTATGGGACTATAGTTCATTCATTCATTTTTACTCCTGTTTAATAGTCTATTGTCTTAAACTGAGCCAAATCAAATTGATGTCTTTCAGCTCTGGGTGTTTTTTTTTTTTTTTTTTTGTGTGTGTGTGTGTGTGTGTGTGTGGTTTTTTTTTTTTTTTATACAACTCTTTATTTTTTAAAATTGATTTAAAAAAATATATTTTTTATTGATTTTAGGGAGAAAAGAGGATTAGAGAGCTAGAAACATCAATGAGAGTGAAACATCAGTTGGCTACCTGGGGACTGAGCCACAACCTAGGCATGTACCCTGACCAGGAATCAAACTGGTGACCTCTTGGTTCATGGGTCAAAGCTCAAGTACTATGCCACACTTGCCAAGTTGATTTTTTTTCTTTTTTTTAGAGAGGAAGGGAGAGAGAGAATCATCAATCTGCTGCCTTGTGCATGTCTTTTTTTTTTCTTTTAGATAAAAAAATAGTTGAATATCAGTAATTTTATGATTTAGCTAAGAAGACTATGTTGTCATTTATATAGGGTGTTCCTCAAAAATGTATACACATACTTTGAATAATTTTAAAGGCAGTGTTTATTAAAATACATCTCATTTTCAAAACTGAGCTGTAGCTATTAAAGTGTATATACATTTCTTAGGGACACCTATGCATTAATTCTCCTGTTAATGGGTAGGGAGATGCTCCCAGTTTGGGGCCATTATATAAGCATTATGCATCTCCTGATGCCTATCGGCATGCTTTTCTCTAGGGTAAATATTTAGGAGTACACTGCTGCAATATGCGTGTAGAATAAAAGTAAATTTGGATCCCTACCTCACATCATACACAAAAATCAACTGGAGGTGGATTGAAGGCTTTAATATGAGAGGTATACCTAACTAGTTTGGCTCAGTGGATAGGGCGTTGTCCTGCCTACTGAAGGGTCCCTGGTTCAATGTCAAGGGCACATGCCTAGGTTGCAGGCTCAATCCCCAGTGGGGGGCGTGCAGTAGTCAACCAGTTAGTGATTCTCATCATTGATGTTTCTATCTCTCCCTATCTCTTTCTCTCTGAAATCAATCAAAGAATATTATTTTTTTTAAAGATAGCATAGCAGACTATTATGATAGGAAATATTATGATAAAACATTTAATCAGATAAGAGCTATACCCCTGCCCTGGCGATTCCTGGCCCTCATCCTTCCACCCGGTCCCCGGTTGCAGGTGAAGTCAGCACTGTGCTCAAGCTGGACAACACGGTGGTGGGACAGACGTCCTGGAGGCCGTGTGGCCCCACCGCCTGGGACCAGAGCTTCACCCTGGAGCTGGAGCGGGTGAGCTGGGCTGGGGGACCACGGGGCCTGGAGGAGGGTTCTGGGCCCGGGGCACCCCCAAACGACGGCCCTCTTCCCTTCCCTCAAGGCGCGGGAGCTGGAGCTGGCTGTGTTCTGGCGGGACCCGCGGGGCCTGTGTGCCCTCAAGTTCCTGAAGCTGGAGGACTTCTTGGACAACGAGAGGCACGAGGTCCAGCTGGACATGGAGCCCCAGGGCTGCCTGCTGGCTGAGGTACAGCAAACCCCGACCCTGAGGGAACGCTTCCTGCAGCTCCAGCTGCAAATGTGGGAGATAATGTCTCGATTGGGCTCCGAGCCTTGAGAGAAAAGGACCTCTCATGGGTTACATCAGCGACACGACTTAAGCTTGGATTGGTTTTGTTTTGAGGCAAGATTAAAAAAAAAAAAAAAAAAAATTTTTTTCTTTTTAAATACAGAATTTTGTCAAGCCAGAAAAGAAAAACAAAACTTGGCACAGTCATGGCCCGTGGCAACATGTGCTGGCAGAGCCACCGTCAAGTAGAGAGATTGCTTCTGCAGTGGGGTTAGGGTTCCGTCAGGGACCCCACCCTCAGCTCTGCAGACATGGGGGCAGGTCACTCTCGGTTGCAGGGGCCGCCCTGTATATTGAGCAGCATCCCTGGTCCCACCCCCAGGAGGCCAGTTGCAACCCCCAGCGGTGACAGCCACAGTGTCTCCGGACGTTGTCACCTGTCCGCTGGTCTGAGTAACATTCCTAGCTGACCCCTCGTTCTGTGTCCCAAGTGCTTTGCTAACGTTCACTCGTTAATCCTCACAACAATCCAGTGCACAGCTGACAGAGGAGGAAACTGAGACCCAGAAGGAAAGACCCTGACCCTTCATTTAGCTCAAATTATCCTCAAAACTGTTTTAAATTTGCCTCTAACATATCCACGTGCCCTCTCCACATCCATATCCCCGTGTGAAAATTCTTACGTGGCCTCATAACCCGGGAGCCGAAGGAGACAGGAGAGGTGCTGGCGTCAGGGGCAGACCAGTCCCTTCTGCGAGGAAGGTCCCCAGCCCAGCGAGCCTGGTGGGGGCGGCCCCGGGGCAAAGGCTGAGGCCCCCGGGCTTCTCCCTAGCCTTTGCTTCTCTGCGTGCTTCCCCAGAACGCCATCCGGCGGAGCTCTCTATCGTTCTGTTGTGGATGGGCCAGCAATAGTTGCATTCTGTGGGAGGAAATGTTTTCCGTCCCGGTCACCCAGCAGAGTAGCCGCCCGCCTCGTGGCTGCTTGAAGTGTGGCCAGTGTGACCGGGGAGCGGAGACGTTGATGTCACTTAGATTTTGCTCCACATACATGGCCACCCGTAGCTGGTGGCACCTTATTGGACGCACATAGTGACGCCGTTCTGTGATGGAGCACTTGCTGGAAGATGTGTTGGAGTTTGGAGAATTCATCGAGCCCCGTGGTGGCCCCTCCGGGGTGGGCACCCGTATCACCCGGAGGGCTTATTGAAACAGCCCGCTGGGCCCCACCCCTGGTGTTTCCGAATCAGTGAGTCCCGCAGGGGGCCCTTGGGTCTGCGTTTCTAGCACCTTCCCCGGCAATGCCGATTGCAGGTCTGGGACCAATCTCGGGAATCGGGGCACTAAGTGATGTAGGACCTGTTCGCTGGAGGTGAATGTGCATCGTGTTGGGTCAGACTCATTCCCTACCCCGTGAGGAAGGCGTGGGTGCCTGCTCTCGTGTCTCCAAAATGGCGCTCGCTCTCTCGCGCGCGCTCTCTCTCTCTCTCTCTCTCGCTCTCTCTCGCTCTCTCTCTCGCGCTCTCTCTCTCTCTCTCTCTCTCTCTCTCTCTCTCTCTCTCTCCTTCCTTGCTCTCTCCTTGCCTCCCGCATGCGCCCCATCTGAGGCTGAGGAGGTGGCTCTGCTGAGCGGTGGATTGGTTTTGTAACCCCTCAATATGATGCAGTGCCACAGTGATCGGAATTCCCAAAACACGCACGTGCACACCTCTGCTCCCAAGGGCTTCCCTGCTGTGCTGCCCGGAAGTGGGCAGGGGTCCTCACCCGCTGACCCCTCTCCCCAGGTCACCTTCCGCAACCCCGTCATTGAGAGGATACCCCGGCTTCGGCGGCAGAAGAAGATCTTCTCCAAGCAGCAGGGTGAGTGGGGGGTCTGGGCCGGGAGCGGCCGGGTCCGGAGCGGCTCAGGGTGACCCCGCCCCGTCCCCCCAGGGAAGGCGTTCCAGCGCGCCAGGCAGATGAACATCGACGTGGCCACCTGGGTGCGGCTGCTCCGGAGGTTCATTCCCAGCGCCGCGGCCACGGGCACCTTCAGCCCCGGCTCTTCTCCCGCCCCCGAGGCCCGGTCCTCAGGGTAAGGACAGGCCCTGGGGTCCCCGCTGCCCCTGCTGCCCCTCGGGTGCTGGTCCCAGGTCCACCCTCCTTTTCTGTGCTGCAGCGACATCCCCGTGGAGAAGCTTAACCTCGGGGCCGACCTGGACAGCTCCCCCCAGAAGAGCCCTCCGTGTTCTCCTTCCAGTCTGGTAAGCATCTCGCTGCTCCTTCCCCGCTCAAGGCCCAGAGACCACCAGGAACTCCCCTGGGTCACACAGCCCTCCTCTGGCAGGACCCCGGCCCAGTTCTTTGTGTTGTTGTTAATCCTCGCCTGCGGATAGTTTTTCTATTGAATTTTATTAGAGAGAAAGGAAGGGAGGAGGAAGGAGGAGAAAGATTGAGAGAGAGAGAGAAACATCAATGTGAGAGAGACACATCAATTGTTTGCATCCTGCATTAGCCCCAACTAGGACAGGGATTGAACCTGAGACCCAGTGCAAGTTCCTTGACAGGGAATTGAACCCGTGACCGTTCGGTTCTTGGACCGACACTCTAACTACTTAGCAACACCTGCCAGGGCAGGGTCCAGTTTTTCAGCCTGAATAGAAACATGAGCTCAAGGGCCAGGCCTGCAGAAACCAGTTTGGCTCAGCGGTAGAGCATCGGTCTGCGGACTGAAAGGTCCCGGGTTCGATTCCCGTCAAGGGCATGTACTTTGGTTGCGGGCACATCCCCAGTAGGGGGTGTGCAAGAGGCAGCTGGTCGATGTTTCTCTCTCATCGACGTTTCTAGCTCTCTCTCTCTCTCTCTCTCCCTTCCTCTCTGTAAAAATTCAATAAAATATATTTTAAGAAAAGAGCAGGCCGCCTGGGTCCCCATTCCTGCTCTGCCACCTCCTGGCCGTGTGACCTGTGCCTCGCACTGCCTGTAAAATGGGCATGTTTGGAACTCATGTCACAGATGGAAGTCGAGATTGTGGTTTTCTCTGAGTGGAGGGGGTACTGACAGGAAGGGGACATGGGAGCCTGCCAGGTGACGCGTCTTCTACATCTGGATCCAGGTCAGCGGTGAGCGCAAGGGTGATATAATGGATAATTTCATATTTGGGGGCCAGATGGCCTTGCTCCTATGAGCACTGCCCTGTCGAAAGCCGCCACAGGTAACACTGACAGACACTGATGGGTGTGGCAGTGTTCTGGGAACACCTTACTGACTTAAGTTTCAATGATACATCGTTTTCCTACATCAGGAAGTATTCTTTCGATATTTTTCCATCCCTTTAAAAATAGAAAGACCATCCTTAGCTTATAAACCATAGGAAAAACAGAATTGCCCACCCCTCACCTAGGCTGGGGACCCAGGTAGACACCTTCTAGTATATGATAGCTGATCCTTTCACTACCTCCCTGAGTGCATTTTTTATTATTATTTTAAAATATATGTTGGTTACTGCCGAAACCGGTTTGGCTCAGTGGTAGAGCGTCAGCCTGCGGACTGAAAGGTCCCAGGTTCAATTCTGGTCAAGGGAATGTACATTGGTTGCGGGCACATCCCCAGAGAGGGGTGTGCAAGAGGCAGCTGGTCGATGTTTCTCTCTCATCGACGTTTTTAGCTATCACTCTCTCCTCCTCTCTGTAAAAAATCAATAAAATATTAATATATATATATATATATATATATATATTAATATATGTTGATTACAGAGAGGAAGGGAGAGAGAGCAAAAAATAAAACAAATGAGGAGAATCATTGATTGGCTGCATGCCCCCTACTGGGGATCAAACCTGCAACCCAGGCATATGCCCTTGAGCAGCATTGAACCCAGGTCCCTTCAATCTGTAGGCCAACGCTCTGTCCACTGAGCCAAACCAGCTAGGGCCTGAGTGCATTTTATATCTTATTTTGTTTGTCAAACCTCACTTGAGGATATTTATTTATTTACTTATTTATTTTTAAATATATTTTATTGATTTTTTTACAGAGAGTAAGGGAGAGGGATAGAAAGCCAGAAACATCGATGAGAAAGAAACATCAATCAGCTGCCTCCTGCACACCCCCTACTGGGGATGTGCCCGCAACCAAGGTACATGCCCCTGACCGGAATCGAACCCGGGACCTTTCAGTCCACAGACCGATGCTCTTCCACTGAGCCAAACCGGTTTGGCTCGAGGCTATTTTTTTTATTGATTTATTTAGAGAGAAGGGAAGGGAGTGGGAGAGACACAGAGACACAACGACTGGTTGCCTCCCACACGTGCCCCAACTGGGCCTGGGGATTGAGCCTGCAACCATGCCCTTGTCTGGAATCAGTCCTCGGGCGCACTCTAACTACTGAGCAAACCCTAGGGCTATTTCATGTAAAATAAAAATAAAAATAGCCTTGGCTGGTGGCTCAGCTGGTTGAAACATTGTTTAACTCCAAAAGGTGGTGGGTTTGATTCCGAGTCAGGGCACATAGTACCTAGGCTGTGGGTTCAATCCTGGATTGGGGTGGGTTTAGGAGGCAGCTAATCCTATCGATGTTTCTCTCTCACATCGATATTTCTCTTTCTCCCTTCCTTAGTTTCTACAAATCAATTAAAAAAAAACAAACCACCCATATCCTCGGGTGAGGGTTAATGAATAAAAGAAAAAGAAAATAATACCTGCTTTATGGCTTTGAATTAAATGGGATGTCTCATTATACGAGATGAGAAGAGTTTGGCAAAAAAAAAAGAAAGAAACAAACTCAAACCTCCCCCAAATTAATGACACTGATGGCGGGAAAGATGAGGAGAGCAGACAGCCCATGGGCATGCCATTGCTATGTCATTGGGAGCGCCCAGCTGGCTGAGTTAAAAAAGGACACTATCTTGCCCTGTCCAGAGTGACTCGGCAATTAAAGCATCGGTTCCTGCACCAAAGGGTCTCGGGTTCAGTTTCCGGTCAAAGGCTCATACCTGGGTTGCACGCTCGATCCTGGCCCCAGGAGGTCTGTGCAGGGGGTCAATCAATGTGTCTCTCACATCGATGTTTCTCTCTTTCTCCCCACTCCTTCCTTTCCATTCTTTCTGAAAAGCAATGGAAAAAAAATATCCTTGGGTGAGGATTAACCAAACAAAAAACCAAGAAACGGGTACTGTCGGGACCCAGAAATCCCACTCTGGACCTCCCCTAGCTCTTCACACATGCATCGCCAGGATGTTCACTGCAGCAGCTTTGTGAGGGTCCCTCCATAGGAACCGGTGCTAAATAAATGACAGAGCGGAGTAGTATGCAGCTGTGAAAATGAAACAAGTCCGGTGTGCGGTGTAGACTGATTTCCAAGACAGATAGCCCAGTGGGAGAGGCAAGATTAGAATATTGTCACTAGAATATTGTGCAAGAAAAGTGTAGCCTGTCCTGGCACTTTGGTTCCTGTGGGTATAAAATATATCTGAAAGATACCCAGGAAACCACTAACAGCACCTGGCTCTAGGGAGAGCAGCTGAGGCAGGAAGGACTGTTTTGAACCTGTTCGTACTGACTGAATTTTTGGAACTGTGTTATTTTCCCCCATAAAAATATTATATTCGCCGAGACTGGTTTGGCTCAGTGGATAGAGCGTCGGCCTGCGGACTTAAAGGTCCCAGGTTTGATGCCAGTCAAGGGCATGTACCGTGGTTGTGGGCACATCTCCAGTAGGAGGTATGCAGGAGGCAGCTGATCGATGTCTCTCTCTCATCGATATTCCTAACTCTCTATCCTTCTCCTTCCTTCTCTGTAAAAAATCAATAAAAAACATTTAAAAAAATATATTATATTTGACCTTTACAAAGTTATACATAGATGTGGTATAAATAATTAAATGGCGTCCTAGCCAGTTTGGTTCAGTGGATAGAGCCTTGGCCTGCAGACTGAAGGGTCCTGGGTTCGATTCGATCAAGGGCGTATGCCCTGATTGCGGGCTCGATCCCCAGTAGGGGGCATGCAGGAGGCAGCCAGTCGATGATTCTCTCTCATCATTGATGTTTCTATCTCTCTTCTCTCCCTTCATCTCTGAAATCAAGAACAAATATATTTTAAAAAGTTTTGTTAAAAAAAGAATTAAGTGGTTCCAAAGGACTAACACCAATAAAGGTAATAAGTAGATAAATGCTAAAATATGCTTGCAGCATGAAATGTACTGGAGAGAAAAATAAAGCAGAAAAGGGGGGAATAGAGAGGGTTGGTGTCGCAGGTTCTGGTACTTATTCCATAGAGTGGTCTGCTGACCACCTACGAAGGGGACCTTTGAATAAAGGCCTGAAGGAGCGAGGAAGGAACTGCAGAAAGAGTTCTGGGCAGAGGGAACACTCCGTGCAAAGACACGAGGGTGGAAACGGCCTGGTCTGTGCAGGGCAGTGAGAGGAACTTGAGGTTAGAGGGAAGTAAGCGAGGGGCGAGTGGGGGCAGAGGTGAGGTCAGAGAGGCGACAGGAGCCTCGGCGGCTATTGTGGTTACGGGGTGTCTCACCCTGACCCCCTCTCTCTGCTACAGAGTTCGCCGGCCCAGGAGACGACCACCACGTCTGAGCTGCCTTCAGGGACTCAGGAGACCCCGGGCCCCACCCTGTGCAGGTGACACCCCTCCCCTGTCCACCCCCAGCCACCGCCGCCCCCTGTCCCTGTCCCCACCAGTGTCCTCTCTCCGCAGCCCTCTCAGGAAGTCACCCCTGACCCTCGAGGACTTCAAGTTCCTGGCGGTGTTGGGCCGGGGTCACTTTGGGAAGGTGAGACGGTGGCAGGAAGTGGAGGAGCTGGGAGCGCGCGCCCTCGGGTGTCTGGGCTGGCCGCTAAGGCGCCCCGCCCTCTGGCCACAGGTGCTGCTCTCCGAGTTCCGGCCCAGCGGGCAGCTGTTCGCCATCAAGGCTCTGAAGAAAGGGGACATTGTGGCCCGGGATGAGGTGGAGAGGTGGGTCCCTGCGCAGGCCGTCTGAGCGCATCAGCCTTCTCTCCCGGGAAGTGGGGGCCAGATAGTCCTTCCTCCCACTCATTAGCTAGTGCTTAGGAAGGTACTCTTTCAGTAACATTTATTTATTTACTGGTTTACACTAACTCTTAGAAACATCCGCTCTCACTTGATATTCGGTGACTCGTTTGTTCCCCCAGCAGCCCGGGGGGCGAATGCTGTCATTGTTCCCATTCTTCTGGTGGCACAGAGAGGGCGAGCCAGTGGCCTGAGGTCCCACAGCCAGTGGGCAGCAGGCCCAGGATTCAAACCTAGGGACTGGGGCTCTGAAGCCTGTACTTTTTCTTTTTTTTAAATTGATTTCAGAACGGAAGAAAGAGAAAGATAGGGACATTAATGATGAGAGAGAATCATTGATCGGCTGCTTCCTGCACACCCCCTCCTGGGGACTGAGCCCACAACTGGCGCATGTGCTCTGCTCTGGAATGGAGCCTCAGCTTCCTGGTTCATAGGCCACTGAGCCGCACCAGCGGGGCTGAAGCCTATGCTGTTAATGGTGCCATTACATTGCCTCAGCTTTGGGGTCAGGGCCATGAGTTCAAATCCCATCCCTGCCCCAGACATACTTAAAGATCCTGGGGAGGCCCTTCTGAGCCCCAGCCTCCCCCTCTGTAAAAGCGGAGTGATGATGTCTTTCTTGCACAGTAATCAAGGAGGATTAAATAAGAGACTGGATCTGGAGTATTCTGCAGAGTGCCTGGCCTCCTGTCAGTTCTCAGTTAGAAACACTGAGATTGGCCGAAACCGGTTTGGCTCAGTGGTAGAGCGTCGGTCTGTGGACCAAAAGGTCCCGGGTTCGATTCCGGTCAAGGGCATGTACAATACATTGGTTGTGGGCACATCCCCAGTAGGGGGTGTGCAGGAGGCAGCTGGTCGATAATTCTTTCTCATCGATGTTTATATCTATCCCTCTCCCTTTCTCTCTTTGAAAAATCAATAAAATATATTAAAAAAAAAAAAAAGAAAAAGAAAAGTGCCAAAACCGGTTTGGCTCAGTGGATAGAGCGTCGGTCTGCGGACTTAAAGGTCCCAGGTTCGATTCCGGTCAAGGGCATATATCTTGGTTGCTGGCACATCCCCAGTAGGGGGTGTGCAAGAGGCAGCTGGTCGATGTTTCTCTCTCATCGACGTTTCTAGCTCTCTATATCTCTCCCTTCCTCTCTGTAAAAAAAAATAATAAAATATATTAAAAAAAAAAGAAAGGAAAGGAAAGGAAAGGAAAGAAAAGAAACACTGAGATTGTCCCCAATCCTCTCGACATCTTTTTGTTAATCGGGAACCCAATTTGGGCAGGCTTAAGCAAATAGAAGAATTTATTGCTCTGGATCAGGAATGTCCAGGGGTGTCTGCCTTCAGGCATGGCTGTATCCAGGTGCTCAGATGATGTTTCTCATTACAGATGTGGTATAAAGAATTAAATGGCGTCCTAGCAGCTTGGCTCCGTGGATAGAGTGTCGGCTTGCAGACTGAAGGGTCCTGGGTTCGATTCGGTCAAGGGCACATGCCTGGGTTGCGGGCTTGATCCCCAGTGGGGGGCGTGCAGGAGGCAGCTGATTGGTGGTTCTCTCTTGTCATTGATGTTTCTCTCTCTCCCTCTCCCTTTCTCTCTGAAATCAGTAAAGAAATATATTTAAAAATATATTTGTATTGATTTAATAGAGGAAGGGAGAAGGAAACAGAAATAATAATGATGTTTCTATCTGTTTCATTGATCAGCTGCCTCCTACACGCCCCCTGCTGGGGATTGAGCCCACTACCCAGGCTCAGTGTGCTCTTGACTGGAATCGAACCCAAGTCCCTTCAGTCCGCAGGCTGATGCTCTGTCTATTAATCCAAACCAGCTAGGGCAATAAAAACATTTTTTTTTTTTTTTAAATTCCAACAGAAAGCCTGAGATTGAGCTCCATTGGCTTGGCTTCCTCATTCCTGAATAAATTCCTGGCCAGGGAGATGGGGTGCTCCAATGAGCCCACCCCTTCCAGCTCCCCAAAGAGGAACTGGGGGACTGTGACTAGGATGACAGATGGGTTCTAGGTGTCTGTTGAGCAGGCAGGGCTGCCGAAGTTCAGAGATAGAAGCAGGTTGCCCGAGGTTGCACAGCCACGAGAGGCCCTAACAAATCCCAGGGTTTGAGGACTCCAGGGAGTGTGAGAGGTGGGGGTAGGGAGCGTCTCTGCTGCCTGACCCCTGTCCCCACCCTGCGCAGCCTCATGTGCGAGAAGCGGATCTTGGCAGCGGTGACCAGCGCGGGCCACCCCTTCCTGGTGAACCTGTTCGGCTGCTTCCAGACGCCGGAGCACGTGTGCTTCGTGATGGAATACTCAGCTGGGGGCGACCTGATGCTGCACATCCACAGCGACGTCTTCTCCGAACCCCGGGCCATGTGAGCTGGCCCCGTGCCTCAGCCCCTTCTCACTCCTCCCCCTGAAGGTCCCACCTCCCTCCCGCCCAGCCCTCAGGGTCCGGTCCAGTGTGGGGCTTTTGAGTTTGTGTGACCTCCCTGTGGGGAGGCCTGGCTCCTTCACACCAGCCTCTCTCTGCAGCTTCTACTCAGCCTGTGTGGTGCTGGGGCTGCAGTTTCTCCACGAACACAAGATTGTCTACAGGTGTGTGCGTGTGCGTGCGCGTGTGCGTGCTCGTGCATGCGTGCTCTGCCCACTCGGGGGCCCTCGGGCTTGAGGCAGGGCCCCCATTCCCACTCATCCCTCTTTACACCTCCCCCCCCCCCAACCCCTCACAGGGACCTGAAGTTGGACAATTTGCTCCTGGACACGGAGGGCTATGTCAAGATTGCAGACTTTGGCCTCTGCAAGGAAGGTGAGGGGCGGGGCCGGGGTCTGGGGGTGCTAGGCAGAATGGGGGCGGGGAGAGGAACGGAGTCCCCAACCCTACCCAGGTTATCTCACAACCCCACCCTGGATCCTGGGACAGGGCTGGCTGGGCCCCCCCTGTCCCCCAATAATCTCACCTGTCCCTGCCGCCCCAGGGATGGGCTATGGGGACCGGACCAGCACGTTCTGTGGAACCCCGGAGTTCCTGGCCCCCGAGGTGCTGACAGACACGTCGTACACGCGGGCGGTGGACTGGTGGGGGCTGGGCGTGCTGCTCTATGAGATGCTGGTCGGTGAGGTGAGGCCACAGGCTGCCCCCGCCCTGCTTGCCCCGGGGAAGCACTGGCCCCTGCGTGTGCCCGGGGTGGAATCGGAGTCTGCCGCCAGCACGTGCTGTGTGCTGGGGCGGGCGCTCCTCCTCCCTGGCCTTAGCTTCCAGACGGTGAAACGGCCACGTGCCCTCTGTGCGCAGGTGCAGCAGAGCAGAGGGCTTTGGGGCTGGCGGGGCCAGAGGAGGTGCCTGATTCATTCACCCCGTACCCCTGCTTTCTCCCCGTGCCCAGTCCCCTTTCCCAGGGGACGACGAGGAGGAGGTATTTGACAGCATCGTCAACGACGAGGTTCGCTACCCCCGGTTCCTGTCCGCGGAGGCCATCGGCATCATGCGCAGGGTGAGGACCCCCAGGCTGGGGTACCCGGGGAGGGCCCTGGGACCCAGGGGGAAGGCTGACACTGTGCCCCCCCCCCCCCCCCCCCAGCTGCTGCGGAGGAACCCGGAGCGGAGGCTGGGATCCAGCGAGAGGGATGCGGAGGATGTGAAGAAACAGCCCTTCTTCAGGGTGAGCACCTCCTCCTCCCGAGGACCAGGCCGTGCCCCCTGAGACCTCATTGCTTCACCTTCAACACTGTCACCCCTGCCTTCCCTGCCCGCCCCCCCTCACTGACCCCGCCGCACCCCTACCTCCTCCCGGCTGGGAGCCCCTGCCTTAGGGTGAGACCAGGCTCCCCGGTCCTTTCGGGCCTCCCAGCCCCGCCGGCTCTGCCCCTCTGTGTGTAGCTCAGCTGGACCCCACAGATCAGAGGTGCAGGGGCCCCTCCTGCCCTGGGTGCCCCAGCCCTCCGCACTGACTCCCCCTCCCCGCAGACCCTGGCCTGGGACGCCCTGCTGGCCCGGCGCCTGCCGCCGCCCTTCGTGCCCACGCTGTCCGGCCGCACAGACGTCAGCAACTTCGATGAGGAGTTCACCGGGGAGGCGCCCACGCTGAGCCCCGCCCGGGACTCCAGGCCCCTCACGGCCGCGGAGCAGGCGGCCTTCCGGGACTTCGACTTCGTGGCCGGGGGCTCTTAGCCCGCTCCCGCCCCGGCGCCCACCCAGCTGTTGTTAGTTTTTAAAAATGCCTTTGGGGTTTGCCCCTCCATGCATCCCGGCTCTTCTGTTCACGGTCATGGGAAAGGAGGGGCGTGGGGAGAGTGGGGAGGGCGGGGTGGGAAGATGCCTTGGGTGATGCTGGGGGCTGATTTGAAGGGAGTCAAGGGAGGATGGGAACTTGGGGCTGTCACTGTGGTAGGGAGCGTGGACAGGCCTTGGAGGGAGGGGTTCAAGGCTGTGTTGGGGCAGGGCTTGGGGGAACAGCCTTGAGGAGCTCAGAGCCCCCGTGAGCGAAAGGCCGCGGGAGTCCGTCCTGGCAGCGGCAGCGGCAGGGGCTAGAAGCCCCTCCACCCTCCCTGTCCCCACTGGGGCCGGGGTGGCAGCACTCTGCGCATGCTCCTGTGGCTCCGGCTCCGCGCCAGGCGGCGTGCGCCCCCGCGCGGCCAGTGCCGGGACTGCACCTCGGAGGAGCGCCCTGGGCCTCTGCCGCCCCCGAGCGGCCACACGCGTGCTGTAGTACCAATGGCGCACACCACCCGGGGCTGGTCCGCAAAATGGCTTTTTTATTCCTCGAAGGCTCCGCGCCGCGGGCCTTGCCCGGCACGGAGTGGTCTGGCTCAGCGGCCGGGCCTCCGCCTCCGGGTGTGCCTAGAAGTGGCTGAGGCCGCTGTGCCGGGAGCTGCGCAGCGAGCTGGCCTCCCAGGTGCTCCTGGTCAGGCCCAGCGCGGGGCCGCCCTTGGCCTGGCCAGGCCGCCCGGGCAGCAGGCGCAGCAGCTGGCGCAGCACGGCCTGGCGCAGCAGGATGTACACCCAGGGGTCCAGGATCTGGTTCCACGAGGCGAGGCGCACGGCCATGAACAGCGGCCTCTGCAGGGAGCCGGAGCCCCAGCCCGCCACGGCCAGCGCCACCAGCACCTGCGGGAGAGGCCGGTGGTCGGAGGAGGGCCCAGCGGTGGGTGGGGCCGGGGCGGGTGGGAGCTTGGCTGGAAGGTCAGGGGGTGTGAGCGTCACGGAGGAAAGGGGGTGTCTTCGTGAAAAGGAGCTGTGGGGAGATCGGAGGAGATGCAGAAGCCTTCACTGAGCGGGGCTCGGACTGGAAAGAAATCCCAGGGGTTGCAAAGGGCAGAGGGCTGAAGGGAAGAAGAAAAACGGGGTGTGTGTTGCGGGGGGGGGGGGAGAAAGAGGGGAGAGGGGAGGGGGGCAGAGAATGGAGTGTCAGGGCCCAGAGGCGTGGGGCTGGGGAGAGAGCTTGTGGGGTTGGGGTGAACTACAAAGACCCCAAGAAGGAGAGAGACCAGGGGCCTTGGAGGAGGGTGGGTGTCGGGGAGAGGGCACAGGGCGGGCTCCCTCGGCCGGTGGGGCTGAAGGGCGGGGCTCCGGCTGGGGAGAGAGGACGGAGATCTCCTCGGTGGAAAGGGTAGCGGGGCCCAGGCGGGAGCGGGAGGAAGCCGGCTGGAGGGGCCGGCGCGCCCCTCACCAGCAGCGGGCTCCAGCAGATGCACGACACCACCATGATGCCCACGAGCTGGCCCACCATCTCCACGTCGTGGGCGCGGGCCCTGCGCGAGGAGCCGCGGCCCAGGACGCCGCGGGTGGCTTTGGAGGAGGCCGAAGAAGCGACGGAGGAGGCGGAGGAGGCGGAGGCCGAGCGCAGGCCGCGCCTGCTCCACCGCCGGCGGCTGTCGGGGCCCGGGGCCGGCGGGGGGCGCGCTCGGCGCCGCCAGCGGGCGCGCAGCAGGGCCAGGCCGCTGAGCGTGTTGCAGGCGAGCGCGGCGAGCAGCGCGGCCAGGCCGAGGCCGGCGAAGAGGCCGGCGAGCAGCGCCTGGCCCCAGCCGCCCGCGGGGCGCAGGCCGATGAAGCACCAGGTGCCCGGGTACTGCGGCTCGTAGCGGCCCACGCGCGCCGCGGGCAGCAGCGCCACGGCCAGCGCCACGGCGGCCAGCGCGGCCAGCGCCAGGCGCGCGCGGGCCACCGACACGTGCGCCGCGTGCAGCAGCGGCCGCGTCACCCCCACGCAGCGCTCCACCGCCATGCCGCAGCCCAGCAGCAGCGGGCACAGCCCGAAGAACACCATGCAGCCGCCCAGGAAGTGGCAGGCGCCGCCGGCCGGCGGCCGCCCCGCGGCGTACAGGCGCAGCACCAGCGCGCCCGGGATCACGTGGCCCGCCAGGTCGGTGGCCAGCAGGCTGGCGACGAACAGCAGGAAGGTGGCGGCCGAGCGGCGGCGCCGCAGGCGGCCCAGGGCCTGCGCCAGCAGCGCCAGCGCCAGCACGTTGGACGCGGCGCCCAGCGTCATGGAGAAGATGGGCAGCGCCGGTGACGCGCCCCCGGGGCCCGGCGGCCCGCTGGATGCGTTGGGGGCCGCGGGTGCGGTGCACGTGGTCGCCGCCTCGCCCGCCAGGCTCAGGTTGAGGGGCCCGGAGGGGTTCATGTCAGGTGCCGGGGGCGGGGCTGGGGAGAAGAGGAGGGCAAGTTGAGGCTGGCCCAGGACACAGCGTCCCCCCCAACTCCTCCCCCCGACCAGCTGATGGTCCCCTTTTTGGGTTATTAGGGCCCAAGTGACCCCATGGCACTTGGTGCCCAGTTCCTGACCCCTCCTCGGCCTCTTACCCTCCCAGCTCTTGCTCCCCTCCCAGCCCCACTCTGCCTCTCTGCCTACTTCCCGTTCCCTGTGGCTCCCTGGCCCCGGCCCCCTGGTCTGATAGTCTCTGGGCCTCACAGACCCTCCTCCCATTCACATCATAGCACATGCCTGGTGCCCTGCCCCATCTGATGCTCACGGACCCGTTTCTGATCCTAGGGCTCCCTATGACCCCACTGCCCCATCTCAGACAGTCATCTCTAATCCAGCCCCATCCTGGATGCCCACAGCTCCACCTCTGCCACTGGGGGCCCATCTCTCCCCATTGCCCTGTCTCTTGTCGCCGTGGCCCCATCTCTGTCCCCCTCACTCCCATCTCTGAGCTCCATTGCTCTCTCCTCTCTCTCAGGCCCCATCCCACCGCAGCCACCTCACCCAGGGTGCCCCAGGGGTCCACTCCCGCCGGCTCCAGAGGCCTCAGGCTGACCTGGGACCAGCCCTCCGTTGGTACCAGTGGTGAGAGCTCAGAGGGCATTACTGCCCCCTGGTCAGAGGAGAAAGGAGAAGGGACAGATGGTTGAGAGCAGCCGGGACAGAGGGCTGAGAACACAGGATGGACAGGTGGGGGGAACCATGGCCCCATCCTTCGGTGCCCCCCAACCCCACCTGAGACCCCTGCGCCCGGCTTCTTACCTGGTGGCGCTGGGAACGCCAGGTCCCCATCGCCTGCCTCTCAGTGCCGGCTGCCCGCTGCGCTCCAGCTCTCGGCAGGCCGCTCCCTCCCTCCCTTCCCACAGGGGCGGCTCCTCGCTCGGCTCCCTGCCTCCTCTGGCTGCCCACTCAGGCCTCCAGGGGCTGCTCCACCCAGCACCAGCCCGCTGAGGGGCCTGGGGGGGGCAGAGACCCCCTCTCTGCACTCCTGGCAATGGGTATGGGCCACTCTGGGCCCCAACTCCCCTTATGGGGCAGGGGCGCCCCCGTGACCCCCTCCCCTTGGCAGGGCAGGATCACCCCCCTTCCCCCAGGCTTGGGCCTCTCGCCTGCCTCATTAATAAAGCGGATAAAATCTAAACACTGGAAAATGTGAGCGTCACCAGGGGCCGGCCGGGGCGGCTGCAGGGGTGCCGCTACGCCGATGGGGGGTGCCGGATTGGGGGGCCAGCCCTCGTGGGGCAGCAGCACTCCTCTGCCCTGCCAGTCTTCCTGGATGCTGGGTGGGTGGTGGTGGGCAGTGCCTTGGGTGGACTGGCTTGGGTCCGGCCCAGCCAGGCCAGGAGATCCGCCCACTATTTACACAGGGGCTTAGAGCCCAGGCCGGGGCGGCAGGGAGTCATGTCCCCGGAGGGGAGGGGGACGAGGCCCAGGGACCAGGATCTCCTAGATCCCGCCCCGGGATGTGGGGAGGGACACCTGGGACACACCGTGGACACACAGCCGCAGCCTCACCTCCTGCCTGAGAAGTAGGGACGGCCTCACACCCAAAGACACACTGTCACATCCCCGACACCCCGAGACCAGCGCCGGCTCAGCCTGTCCCCAGCCAGCCACATTCCTCAGAGCTGGGAGTCAGCCATCCTCACAGCCCAGGACTCACTGAGGCATCTGCACCCCCAGCACCAGACATCCCCATGGTTACTGGCTCTGACACGGGCCGCTTTGCTCAACACCCTGAAATACGGCCCCTGAGATCCTTCACCGATTCAGCCCCCCCATCCCCCATATCTGTATCCCTCAGATACGCCCTAACAGTCCAAAACACGATTCATGGGCACACTCCACACCCAAACACGAGGAGTCGCAACGCCCTGGACTCCCTGAGATCTTGCTGGTCACCCTGCCCTAGAAATAGGTATATCAGACACACAGTTCTGCAGTCACATACCCACCCTCTATGTCCACTGCCATTTATGCCCTCCGAGTCCTCAGTCACAGATCACCAACACGGACTCACAGTCCCACTCTCACAGAGACGCACCCTCAGTAAGGCTCCTGCCGGTGCGGACACCCCTCCAGGTGCCCAGGAATGCACGGAGGAACCCCGACAACTGCTACCCCTGCCCCCCAGCCCAGCGGCACTCCCACCTTGGAGGACAACTGCCCACCGTGTGGAAATGGGGAGTGGACTGGGCTCACATTTTCCCGCTCGGCTCCCCCCTCCCCCAACATTCCTGCAGGGACCTCCAGCCTAGCTGGCTCCCTCCCTTCCATTTCGGCTCTTCCCTCCTGGTCTGGCCAGGGTCCCACCCCACCTCCTTCCCAGATCCCCCTTAAATCCTCGTGGGTGAAGCGGGTTTACATCCGGTGCACGGCGTGGCCTGCCGTGGCCGCCCAGAGGCTGCACGTCCAGGCAGGTGGTGTGTGGCGGCATCATGGCTGCTCCTCCCATAGCCCTCGCCCCAGCCCCCAGCGGCCCGAGGCTGGGGGAGCCCCCTCCCCGCCAGCTTTCTTTTTCCAAGCCAGGTTTCCACACCTCCCGGCCCTGCTGCTTCCCAGGACCCTGGGCCATAGCTGGCAGCCTTGTGCCCTCTGTTCCCATCAGGCTGGGGCGGCAGGAGGCACTGTTAGAAACGAGAAGACCTGAACCCTCGTTGGCCAAAAAGCTCAGGCCCTGCCTGGAAGCCCGGTGGCCCTCGGCCAGAAGCCTGCTCAGGCGGAACGGGTGGGAGGGGGCGGGCGGCCAGGGCCAGCTCCTAATTCAATTTGGAGCCAGAGGAGGATGGATTTCAGCTGCTACATTTTTTCCCAGCCAGGGCCCTTCCCACACTCGCACTCCAAGGCCACCACACAGGTCCAACAGCAGAGTCTTTATGTGCGACAGCAAAGTCAGACACGAGAGCCCACCGCCGTCTGTCCCGGGCGGAGGGAGCCGGAGTGGGGCGGGAGGGGGAGTTCACAGCAGAAGACGTGTTTCAAAGGCAGAGGCAGGGAGCTCTGCAGGAATGGCGGGAGGGGGATTATTGCATTTGCTGAGGCGGGGGGACGCTCCCCCTTTTGAATTCCCTGCCAGGAAACCAGGGAGGTCAGGACCCCCCGAACAGAACCCGAGGCCGCAGGGAGACGGGGGACCAGCTTGGCCGCTGATGTGGAACGTGTTGCGGGCGGGGTCTGGCTGCCCAATGGGGCTGGTCCCTCTCAGAGCCTGATCTGGCTGAGGTAGGTGGGGAACAGGGAGGGGGGGGGGGGCTGGGAACGAGGGAGGAGCGGTACCGATCGGCGGGGCAGAGGCTCGGCCCCACCTCCACGCCACATCCTGGGACTGCTGGGCCAGGGCCAGGGCCAGGCCGAGCCGGGTGCGGGGCCTGGCGGCCGTGTCCCCACCCCAGGGGCTCCCACCAGGCCCCCTCAGGTCATCGCAAGGTCCGGTGGGAGGCCTAGTACCGGCCGACCTTGGCGTCCCCGATGGCGCCCCAGACGTCGAAGACGAACTCGTCGGGAAAGGCGAAGTCGCCGAGCCGCTCGTCCAGGGCCTCGGCCAGCTCGTCCGGGTTCCTCTTGTCCTTCCCAAGCTCTACCATGGTGGCCGCTGCGGGCGGGGGAGCACAAGGGAGGCGGTCAGGGCAGGCCCGGTCTCCCCCAGACCCCCGCCCCGCCCAGATCCCAACGCCAAGCACTCACCCAGCTCCGTGTCCCTGATGCCCATGTAACTCTCCAGCAGGTCATCGACTTTCTCGATCGCCTTCTCCTCAAAGGCCGAGGGCTGGAGGCGGGGTGGCAGGAGGGACAGTGGCATCATCATAATGGCAACATAACTGATTGTATTCACTAGGCGCCAGGTCTCTTTCTGCCACTTCATCTATATTAACCCTCAGTCCATTATCAGTGTTATTTCTCCCGCTCCCCCCATTTTCCAGACAAGGAAACTAATAAGGCCAACAAGAAGGGTTGGGAGGAGGCAGGGGTGGGTTTGAATCCAGTGCCTGGAGCCCCTCAGCTAACAGGTGACACTGCACCCTACGAGTGTGCAGGGCAGGGGGGCTGGGCCCAGCTGGAACACTCACCAGGTCCTCCACAGTGGCAGGGCCCCGGGACCGGAGACGCAGAGTCCCTCTGCCAGTGCCCAGCTGGGGGCCGGAGCCGGGACGGCCACCCCCTGAACGCATGCTGATCATGTCTGTGGGAGGCAGGGGAGGTGTGAGAGTAGGGGGAGCCCAATTCCAGCATGTTCTGGACAGGAACAAGACATCCTGGCCTTTGACACTCCCCTCTGCCTTCCCCCAGCTCCTGCAGGCTCCAGGGCAGCTGGGGGCTGAGGGGACCCCAGGAGGGCAGGATTCCTGACAGACTTGGCATGGACGGGAGAGGGGCAGCCAGGGGCTGGGAACGGAAAGGGCTAAAAGGGACATTAAAGGGGGCCACATCTCTCCCAGGGCTCGGGGGACAGGAAGAGGATGGGGCCTTGATCTCTAGCTGCCGTCCCAGGGTTGAGTGTGGGGGTTGGGGGGCAGAGGAGTAATAGCTGCTGGGCGGTAGACCAGCCCTAGCTGCTTGGGGAAGTGTTTCAGAGTCCCCCACCCCCACCTTAGGGGCCTGGAGCCCATTCCTAAGAGTTAGTGAAGCCGGACTGGAAAGTGTGGGGGGGGCTGGCACAGGGCAGCCAAGCCTGGCTTATCGGGGCTGGGGGGATGGCGTGGCGGGGGTTGGCCAGGGTTGGGGGCGCTTGGCTGGGCTAATGGCTCCTGGAAGCTGGATGTGGGGGCAACTTCCTCCTCGTCCCCACCCTCCCCCCAGGCTGGGCGGAAGGCCAGCACTCCCCTCCCCAAGGAGAGGCGGAGCTGTCTCCCTCTTTCCAATGTGGCCTGCTGGGCTCGGGGCGCCACCTTCTGGTGGCCCGTGGCACTGCAGGCCGGACCCAAGTATATAATGGGCAGCCCCTCACCGAAAGCTTTGCGGGGCTCCGTGAGCTTCAGGGTGAAGGTGCGCCCTCGGGGCAGCTCCTTGAGCAGCCGGGCCACCTCGTAGTGCCGGCAGCCCAGCAGGCTCTGCCCATTGATGGCCTCGATCATGTCGCCCACGCTGATGAGTTGGATGTGGTCAATGACGCTTCCCTCCTTGATGCGCTGAGGAGAGAGGGGCCGTCAGCCCTGAGCTCTGCCCCCAGACCTGTGCCGCCCCCCTCCCACCCGCCCTCAGGCACCTTGATGAAGGCGTAGCCGGCCCCATTGTCTGTGATGGTGAGCCCCAGCGCCTCCTCCGACTTGAACACCTCCACCTCCTTCCGCTGCCCCTTGACGTGGGCGAAGATGAAGTCCTCCAGCCCGATCTGGCCCCCCAGGAGCTTGTCCATGTCCACCTTGTGGGTGTTGAGGGTGCAGAACATCACCTGCGAAGGTAGGAGACACTCAACTCTCCCCTTCCCTCCCTCGGCCTCTGAGGAAGAAGGAAAGAGAGCCTGGGGGTCCCCACCCCAGAGCCTGGCCACCCCAGAGGCCAAGGCCCCCACTGGGATGTCAGCTCGGCAAGGGCTGAAATTCCTGTCCTGGCAAAAACCTCCCTGCCGGCTCCAGGGCACGGAGCCTGGCCCCCTGTGGGTGCTGAGTGCATGCTTGTGGAATGAATGAAGGCACAGACTCCCTCCCAGCCTACTGAGACCCCTGGGGCTACTTCCTGCTCAATCCCTCCGGGCCTCTTTCCTTGGGCCCAAAGTCCTTGGGGCCAGGCCTCTCTGCATCCTGGAGAAGTGACTCTTGAACCGGACCTCCAACCCCCACAATCCACTGGGGTGCAAGCCTCTCCATGAAGGATGGGAATGCAGCATCTAGTTCCCATAATGCACTCGGGCATAGGTGTCCCAATACCATATGGAAACTCAGCATCCGGCCCTGGCCTCCGGGTCCCCATAATTCAGTGCGGCACAGGCCTCCGCACCTGCAGCTTGGGTACTGAGCCGCCGGTCAGAACCAGGACGCACGTCCAGGCTGCCAGCATCCCGCCAGCACCCCGCCAGCACCCCGGAACTCCCGGACGTGTACCTCGGCAGCCGGCAGCCGGAAGGCCTCGGCGATCTTGCCGTACAGCTCCTTGACGTTGGTAAAGCCCTCGATGCGGCCGGTGGGGCTGCCGTGGGCCAGCTGGGTGTGGAACACGAGGCGGGGGCGCAGGGCCGGGGGAGGGGGAGGCAAGCCCATGTGGGGGCCCCCTACCACACCCCCTCCCAGGGGCCCCGGCTCGTCCACACCCAGCCCACCGCGGCCCGGCTCGGCTTCTTCATTTTCCACCAGAGGTGGCGCCTTTTTCCGCCGGCCCAGTCCCAGTGGCATGAGCAGCGGGAGGAGGGGGCACGCCCGGGAGATCTGCCGGATGAGAGTGGGGTTAGGGCCTGTGCAGTGGCCCCAGGACATCTCTCCCCACCATGAGCGCCCTACAGGCCCAACGACAGAGAACAGGGCAGCCTCAGTTCAAACCCCTGGCCCCAGCCCTTTTAAACTCCTAATGCTAGCAGCTAATATCTATACAACTCCATGCTAACTGCCCCATGACCTTACTTGTTACACTACATGGTGATGTAGGGACCATATTATGTTACTAGAGTCCTAATGCACAAAATTTGGGTGATGGTGTGTGTGTGGGGGGGTCCCCCTTAGCCCGGTCTGTACCCTCTTGCAATCTGGGACAGTCTGGGACAATCTGTCTGCTGGACAGTCGGACATCACTCCAGTTGGACATCCCTCTTGCAATCTGGGAGCCCTGGCTCCTAACCACTTGCCTGCCTGCCTGATTGCTCCTAACCACTTGCCTGCCTGATTGTTCCTAACCACTCTGCCTGCCGGCCTAATCACCCCTAACTGCCTCTGTCTCGGCCCCCGATGCTGCAGCTTCACCCGGGAGGACGCCCAGAATGACATTTGGCTGTCCGGTCTAATTAGCATATTATACTTTTATTATTGTAGATGGTTACACCCATTTAGCGGATGAGAAAATGGAGGCCCAGAGTGGTTAAATTCCTCTTTATTTTTCTATCAGTCGCAGTCATTAGTGCTGTGTATTAGTGCTGCCAGCCCTCCCTTCGAAGCACATGGGCAGATGGCACTTACAGCCCTCCTCATGATTGGGCAGACATGTCACTGGTTCTGGACAGTGAGTTGTGAGAGGAAGTAACACCTGACATTTCTGAACTGAAGCGTTTAATTACTAGAGCTCCCGAGACCTGTCTCTCCCTGGCAGGGTGACCAGCCACACTGGCATGGCAGTGGCTCCGTCAGGCCAGGCCCTACACTGCGGTGCGCGTAACTCCCTGACAAGCTGCGATGGACATGGAGCAGGAATGGAAATTAAACCTTTTGTTTGACCACTAAGATTTTTGTTGTTCAGCCACTAAGCCGTTTGTTCCTAAGGCACCACCTGTCAGAACTGATACAATATCTGTATTTCTTCTCTTGCCCCATCGTCTCTCCTCCTCCCCTCTCCCTCCCGACAAATTAAACAGTATTTTGGGGGTATTTGCAATAATCCATACACCATTTTACACAGTTCCTTCAATAAGCAAGGGCCCTGGCTCGGGCCACCAGGTGCAGTTACACAGTCATTCCCTGCAGAGGCACCAGACCCCGGTGTGGTGGTGGGTGTGCGTGCCAGGGGGAAGGGCTGCCTTTTCCTGATTCACTCCCAGGTGCTATCCCGGCTACATGGGGCCCTGTCGTGCTGCCCAGGAGCATTCGTGCGGAGGAGAGGTATAGCTAATATAACTTCCAATAGCCCCATGAAGACAATAAAACCAGCCAAGTTCTATAAACTGGGTCAGGGAGGGCCCCTCTGAGCGGGTGAAGCCTCCACACGAGGATGTGAGGCAAAACGTTCCAGGCGGAGGGAACAGCCCATGCGGAGCCCCTGAGGTGCTTGGCGTGTCTGATAACAATGAGGAGCTGTGTAGTTGGCACAGAGTGAGGATGGGGGAGGACAGGAGGAGGTGAGGAGGTGACGGACATTCATAGCAGGGCCTTGTGGGCTGCGGGAAGGACTTGGGCGTTTGCTCTGGGTGAGGGTAGCAGCCTTGGCGGGTTGTGAGCACTCACAGATTCAGGCTCACAGATGAGCCAGAGGCCGGTGGAGATGGAGCGGCGTAAGCAATGGGAGGGTATGAAGAGAGAAAGTAAAAGAGGTGACATCGGCTGGCTGTGCAGACTGGGGAAGAATTGAGATTTCGTTTTTCAGTCACATGTCCAAAGTCACGGAGGCTGGCTGCATCCTCGGGTCTGACTCCCAAGCACACGTTAATAACCACAACACTGTCCCCTAAGCGGCGCTGTGTTCCTGGGCCTCAGCTGCTTGGCCTGCAGATGGGGACGTTTTATCCCTGGCCAGGTTGTAGTGAGGATCAGATGAAACCAAATTATATTTTTCTGTGTGCAAGACTTTCTTCCCTCCCTTCAGACCGCCCATTCTGGGAGCTGTCCTAGATTCAGTTGAGCCCAGTGGGCTGCACCCATCCTCATGCATCCATTCACCCGTCCGTTTGTTCTTTCATTCATTCATTCATCTATTCTCCAACACCTCCTCCAGGATCCCCTGCTCCGGCCCCATCATTACTCACCAGACTAGTGCAGCTGCCTCCTCCAGGTTTTCCAGGGTCTACCCTTGCCCCCCACAGTCTTTTGTCGACACAGTAGCCAGAGTGACCCTGTAAGACACAAGCCATATCACATCTGTCCTGGGCTCTGAACCCTCCCAGGCCTAACTCAGAATAAAAGTCAATGTTCTCCCCTCAGCCCACGAGCCCCCAAATATCTGCCCCCTCCCCTTCCCTCACCTCCTCCTACTCTCCCCTCACTCCCTCCCTCCAGTCATATAGGCTTCTCCCCACACATTAGGCATAGTCATGCCTCAGGGCCTTTGCACTGGCTGTGCTCCCTGGTATTGACACAAATCACTCTCACAGCAGAAACCGGTTTGGCTCAGTGGATAGAGCGTCAGCCTGCGGACTGAAAGGTCCTGGGTTCTGATTCCGGTCAAGAGCATGTACCTTGGTTGTGGGCACATCCCCAGTAGGGGGTGTGCAAGAGGCAGCTGATCGATGATTCTCTCTCATAAATGTTTCTAACTCTCTATCCCTCTCTCTTTCTCTCTGTAAAAAATCAATAAAATTTATTTTAAAACACACACACACACAAAAAAAAATAACAACAACAAATCACTCACATCTTTCAGGTGGAGAATCTATTTCATCCACGTAGCTTGTTCATTATCTGTGTTCTAAAAGGTCAGGGAATTCTGTCTTATTCATACCTATATTCTCAGTGCAGAGACCTATATTCTCAGTGCAGAGAACAGTGCCTGGCACATAGCAAGTGCTCAATAAATATTTGTTGAATGATTTATCCTAATATTCACCAGCCCACCAGAGTCTATGCCCGGCTCTAGAGAGACAAAGAGGCACAGGCTGTAGTCTCTGCCCTCAAGAGGGTCTTGTCCCCCCAGCAAAAACACAGGCCCCACCTCTCCGGTCCCCTGTCTCTTGCTTATCAGCGCCTGCCTGGGCATAGGGCAGGTGCTTCATCTATCCATGGAGACAGGTATCGTATCTCCACCTTTGTGTGTGTGTGTGGTTTTCCCCCACTCTCCTCAAAATCAATGATGCTAAATACCCTTTATACATTTATTAACCACTTGGATTTGCCTTTTTGTTACTTGCCACCTGCATACCCCCTCCTGGGGTATGTCTGCAACCAAGGTACATGCCCTTGACCGGAATCGAACCTGGGACCCATCAGTCCGCAGACCGACGCTCTATCCACTGCCAAACTAGTTAGGGCAGTCTTTACCTATTTAAAAATAATTATACAGCCCGGCTGGTGTGGTTCAGTGGATTGAGCATCATCCTTTGCACGAACAGGTCATTGGTTCAATTCCCAGTCAGGGCACATGCACGGGTTGCGGGCTCGATCCCCAGTGGGGGGCATGCAGGAGGCAGCCGATCAATGATTCTCTCTCATTATTGATGTTTCTATTTCTCTTTCTCCCTTCCTCTCTGAAATCAATAACAATATATTTTTTAAATAAATAAATAAATAAAAACATTTAAAAAAAGTAAACAAATAAAACTTTCTCCATGAAAGCATTAAAATAAATAAATATTATTACACAGCTTGTCTTTTTTTTCTTATTGATTTGTGGGAACTCTTTATATATTCTGGATAATACTAGTCTTTTATTGGTTACTTCATTGCTAGTACCCATCATTAGATCTAGCACAGTAGGCACTAACTGAATATTTGATAAAAAATAAATTCTGAATGGATAAACCATTACTGTCTCAAGTTATTTTGTTACACTCAATGATTAAAAATAAAAGTACTTGCTGAAACTGGTTTGGCTCAGTGGATAGAGCATCAGCCTGCAGACTGAAAGGTCCCAGGTTCGATTTTATTTATTAAAAAATAAATAAATAAAATAAAAGTACCGCTACTCATCATCACCTCCTCCGATTCCCCTTCATACATTGGGAGGCAGAATGCTAAGGACCTGCGTCTGAAATCTGGCCTCCCCACTTAATAGCTGTGTGGCCTGGGGCAAGTATCTCAACCTCTCTGAGTTCTAAGGAAACCTTACGTGTGCCAGGAACAGTTCCTGGCACAAAATATAAATGCTGGTAATTAATCCCAACCTCCTTATTCTTTCTGCCCACACCCACTACCCTGGTTTGGGATGGCTGCGTGTCCTCACCGGTAAGGTGGGTGGTTAATGAACCTGCTTTCCAAGACAGAAGAGGCAGGGTGGCCTGGGTTCAAATCCCACCTTTGCCACTTACCAGCTGTGTAGCCGTAGGCAAGTCACCTCACTTGACGAGGTCTCAGTTTCATCTGAAAAAGGAACGAAATTCCTGCCTCTCAGAGTGCTTGTGGGGATTCAGAGAGATTATGCATGTAGCCTGCTTAGCACTTTCCCTGACATCCAATTTAAGGAAGCTGTTATTACTATTGTCGTTATTATACTGCCTCCTCCCTTGCCCTGCCCAGGAACATTCCAGTCCTCTCTGCCTGCCAGGGCCTACTCTGGGCCACCTCCTCCAGGCAGCCTCCCAAGCTTGCCCCTTGGGGTCCAGACGGCTCAGGCCCATGAACTTAATTACATGTTGCCCTGGCAGAACTCTTGTCTTCCCGTCTCAGGCTGTTATTTAACTCCATGTCTCTATTTTAAAATGTAAACCAGATCGTGTTACTCCCCTGCCTCAAATCTTACAACAGTTTTTTTTTTTTTTTTTAATATATTTTATTGATATTTTTACAGAGAGGAAGGGAGAGAGATAGAGAGCTAGAAACGTCGATGAGAGAGGAACATCGACCAGCTGCCTCTTGCACACCCCCTACCGGGGATGTGCCCGCAACCAATGTACATGCCCTGGACCGGAATCGAACCCGGGACCCTTCAGTCCGCAGACCGACGCTCTACCACTGAGCCAAACCGGTTTCGGCACAGTTTTTTGTTTTTTTTAAAATATATTTTATTGATTTTTTTTACAGAGAGGAAGGGAGAGAGAGAGCTAGAAATGTCGATGAGAGAGAAACATCGACGAGCTGCCTCCTGCACACCCTCCACCGGGGATGTGCCCGCAACCAATGTACATGCCCCTGACCGGAATCGAACCCGGGACCTTTCAGTCTGCAGACCGACGCTCTACCACTGAGCCAAACCGGCTTTGGCACAACTGTTTTCTTAATGTGACCCTTGACTCACAGAATCGCCACCTCGGCTGCACCTCCTGCCTCGGCCACCCTACTCCCAGCCTGGTCCAGCTTCAGAGCCTTCGCCCTGGCTGTGCCTCTGCCCGGCCTTCGCAGGGCTGGCTCCCTTTTTGTCACTCGGGCCTCAGCTCTAAAGTCGCCTCCTCGGAGAGCCCCCTTTGTCCAGAGCTTCTATCATGCCACCCCCTCATATTTTATTCACAGCACTTAGCATCCTTGGTAGGTGTCTTCTTTACTTGCTAGCTTGCTTGTTGTCTGATTCCCCTGCTAGAAAGACAGCTCCCCAAGATTTCTGTCTTGTTTCCTACTGAGTCCCCTGTGCCAAGAACAGTGCCTGGCACATAGTAGCTGCTCAATAAACATTTGTGGAACGAATGAATACATTTTGTATCTTCATCCTGAGTGCTCTCTGAGGCCCCAATCCTCAGAACATGTACGTATGCCGTGGAGGTGGTACCTGCCACCCTCTCCCCTGGCTCTCAGGCTCCCCTCAAACCTGAACACAGGGCCGGAGGAGAAGAATTTCAGCCCCAGCACTGAGTGGGTTAGCTGGAATTCCGGCATCCCCATCCTCTTCCCTGTGAAAGGCCTGAAACTTAGCAACCCCTACAGCCACACAGAATTATAATGGGGCCGGGGGTGGAGTGGGGGAAGGGGGGAGCAGGAAGCAGGGAAGGGAGCTCACACAAGCTCAGCTGCAGCGGGTGGGTACCACGCCCAGGCTCCCCTGTCCAGCTGGGTATCGCTTTGGAGGGGAGGGCAGGAGGCCGCCTCTGATTCAGTCTTGAAAAACCTGCTCCCGGGTGTTTCCGGGGAGAACGCCTACTGCCCTGGCCTGGGCCCAGGCTTCCCAAGGGGACCCAGCATCCTGGCCCCCTGCCTTTCTCCCCTGAAGATGTCACTCTATTCTCAGGACCCAGGTACTCTGGCCTTGCTTTCCTGCTGAGGGGAGAAGGAACATGTGGAGAGCTTACTGCTTAAGTGGCTGCTGTCTGCTGAGTCTGGGAGGGTAGGTGTGGGAAAAGCAAAAAAGCAAAGACCAGCAGGTGTGGCCCAGACAGTATGCGTGGTGTGTGTGTGTGTGTGTGTGTGTGTGTGTGTTGGAGGTGGGGGTGGGGGTGGGGGAGGCAGGCAGCAGCAGGTGGAGGAGCTGCTCGGGAACATTTGAGCCAGGAAGCTCCTGGGCAGGTAGCCTAGCGGTTGGGTCTCCAGTTCTGGCCTCTGAGGTATGGGGTTGAGCCCCGGGTCTGCCACTTACTAGCTGTGCGTGCGACCTTGGGCAAGTCACTCCACCTCTCTGGGCCTGCTCCTTCACTCCTAGAAGTAGCAGTACCTCTCATGGTGTGTTTAAATTCGGTGATCTGCATGATAAATACCGGACACCCAAGTGTTCACTTAAATGCTAGTCGGGGCGATTTTTTTTTTTCATTATTATTATCGGGACCTCGGTCCTTCCCAAGAGCCCCCCACCCCACCCCCAATCCCCGGGTCCTGGAGGCTGGGGACGCGGCCAGCTCCGGGGAGTGCATGGGTAGGGTTCAGAAACACCGACCCCACGTCTGCTCCCGTCGGGGCGGGGCTGTCCAGAGGGGTGCAGGGCCAGGGCGTGGCTGGAGACCCATCCCGGCGGCGGGAAGCGCAGGCTCCCTGCCCCAAATGGGGAGGGAGGCGCCCGGAGGGGGAAGGGGCCTCCCTCAGGCATCCCCCCTGCCGGTCCAGCGGACTCGGGCCGCCGCGTCCCTCGGGCCGGCCCCACCCCCCATACGATCGGCCGGGTCCCGCGAGCTCACGACAGGGTCCCCGGAGCGGCAGCGCCGTGACCCGCCCGCCGGCGGGGACCACTCACCTGCGCCGCCGCCTGCCCGCGCGCGCCGGCTCTGCCCTCCACAAACTCCGGCCGGGCCTCTCCCGCAGCCTCGGACGGGAGGGGCGGGGCCGGCGGCCGCGCCCGACCAATCAGGAGTGGCCTCCTGTAGTTCTCGGCCAATCCGCGCCGCGCTGCAACGAGTCGGGTGGAGCCGCCAGAAACATTCCAAGAGGAGTCCCGCCTCCTCCGGAGCTTCCCGACTCCCCTGCCCGGCGGCACAGTGGACCCTCCCGCCCTGCCTGAGCCGCGGCGGACTGTACCACCGCGGGGCGGCCGGAGGGGGGAGCTGAGGCTGGGCCCCGGCGAAGGGAGGGGAAGGAAGGAGCCGAGTGACCAATGGGGAGCTGGGGCGCCGGGCCACGTGCTGCGGTTGAGTGTCTCGGGGTGGTACTGGGTGTAACCAGCGGGGGACGGGCCGTGGGAGCCCGGTGACCGAGGCTGAGTTTGGGGCGGGGAGAGAATGCAAGCTCTCAACGTCTCCAAAAGCGTACCTTTAGATAGAAGGCCTGGGAAAGGGCCGAGGGCAGCCCCACTCCAGTTCTCCGCCTGGCCTGGCCTGCCTCGGCCCCAGCCCGGCCATCCATCCTCCTCGGAGCGGATAAAAAGATGCATTCATTCCAGGGTGGCGGGCGGGGGACTGGAATGAATAGGGAGGGTCCTGAGTGTGCCTGCTTCCTGGGTGTACAAAGGACAAGGACATTCGTTCATTCATTCATTCATTCATTCCCTCATTAAATATTTCATGTGCCCCTGGTTGGTGCCAGGCTCTGTCCTATCGCTCCGACGGGCACACCGGCTAGGAAACGGAATGTGCTCCAAGGAGAGGGAAGCTGCGTGCCTGGAGGCTGGACGGAGAGATAAAGTCCTTTAGGATAGGAGCAAGCAAAGCAGTAGGCGTGGATGCAGTGGAATGGAAGACAAGGGCAGGATGTCCTGTGCGCTGGTTGGTTAGACAGCAAACACAGAGAGAGCACAGACTAGGTGGTGCCAGGTTTCCAAGGTACCCAGGCAATTCAAGCCTCTGCCCTCAGGAAGCTGACCTTTCAATGATTCAGTCTCCTCTATCTCAGTGAACAACCCGCCACCCCACCCCGTGCAGACACGCAGGTGTGTAGGACAGCACCAGGTAATCTCACCATCTCCAGGTTTGGCTTGCAACCGGGATTGCACAGGCGGGAGCAGACCTGAGAAACAAAGACACAAACGCATCTCGCAAAAGCCAGGATGCTCAGTTCTCTCAGGACAGGTAAGATGTTTCCTTTTTCTACTTCAAAGCGGGCCACTTGGGCAGCTGGGGCTAGACCAGGAGCTGGCCGTGTGTTCTGGAAACTGTAGTTCTTGGAAGCCTCTAACTGCTACTATGACTATGCTCAAGCCTGATTCAATGACTGGGTCTTTGCAGTCCCCAGTGTGAACCACTGTGCATCCCAGCCCTACGAAGACCCAGGAAAGGGACAAAGTGAAAGAGGAGAGTGGGCCCTGGGCTTAGCTTGCTGACAGCTGCTGGGACGGCCCCACCCAGCTGGCAAACACCAAAATCTCCCATGGCAACAGGTTCAGCTATTGTCCTCCTCTTCCTGCTCTCCTGACCTCTGCCGCTCCCACTGAGCAATCGGCTGCCTTCGCTGGCCCGGTGCCTTCTGGGGGACTGTGCCACCTTCCTGGTTGCACTTGGCACCCGAGATTCTCCCTGGGGCAGGATGTAGGGCCAAAGGGACAGTGGTGCCCCTAGCCAGAATCCACCTGAATCCATCTGTTGACTGACGGGGAAGTCCCCAGGGAGGGGGTAAGGGAATTACCCAAGGATATAAAGTAGTGCCTGGCACCTCTTACCCTCTTTTAGAGTTTGAGAGGCAAGCTTGGAGACTGAGGGGGATGAGGCGGGAGAGACCCAGCTGGTGAGGAGCTCGATTTGAGGGTTGCTTCATCATCCCCTTTGGGAAAAATAAAAATCTGGACCAACTGTTACATTGGCAGAAGGAAAGGTTGAATTAGAAAATCACCATTTTCCAGCCGATAGATGAATACATGATTCAGGCAAGGCTCATCCATGAGGAAGTGGGCATTCTGTTTTAAAGGGCCAGCCTGCTGGTTAATTGTAACGGGGAAAAGGTACCGGTGGGGAAAGCTGGAAGGCACCACCTGAACCAAGTGATCAAAGTTAGCATCACCAGTGATGGGTCAGGCCGTGCTCACGTGCCCCCTGCTGTGATGCGCTGAGCAGGACACCACATCACCTACAAAATGCTTTGTCCGACCTAAAGTGTGTAACCTGAATCTAATCTTGAGGAGACAATCAGACACACTCTGACTGAGGTGTGTCTGAAAGGATGAAAGGATGGATGGGCCATAACCAGTTTGACTCTGTGGATAGAGCGTCGGCCTGCGGACTAAAGGGTCCCAGGTTGGATTCCGGTCAAGGGCATGTGTCTTGGTTTCTGGCACATTCCCAGTAGGGGTTGTGCAGGAGGCAGCTGATTGATGCTTCTCTCTCATTGATGCTTCTAACTCTCTATCCCTTCTCCTTCCTCTCTGTAATTATATATATATAAAGGATGGATGGAAAGAAGGGGGAGGAATGGAAAGGGAAAGGAAGGGAAGGAAAGGAAAGGAGAAAAAATTGACCTGTGGTCTTCAAAGATCTATGTCATGAAAGGCATAATCAGTTCCTTAATCAAATGAATGAATAAAAGTCTGGGGAATAGTTCTAGATTGAAGGAGGTGAAAATCATATGAAAATTATATGATCTTTGATTGGATCCTCCATAAAATTTTTCAAAAAAATATAAAACAGCTATGAAGGTTATTCTTGAGGATAATTGGGGGTATTTGAATGTTGAGTAGATGTTAGATAATATCATATCCATGTTGAGTTTCCTGAGATTAAGCGTTGCTGCACTGTGGTTACATAAGGGACTGGTCTTCTTTCTAGGTGATTACATGCTGATTTATTTAGTGGTCAATTTGTGATGGCTGCAACTTGTCAAATGGTTCAGAAAAAATATGTATATAGTATTTTATGTACAGTATATTTTACGTACAGTAAATAATATGGCATACATTAGTACTTTTAAAATATTTTTTATTGATTTCAGAGAGAGGAAGACAGAGGGCAAGATAGAAACATCAATGATGAGAGAGAATAATTGATCAGCTACCTCCTATACACCCCATACTGGGCATGTGCACTGATGGGGAATTAATCAGTGACCTCTTGGTACATGAGACAATGCTCAACCAACTGAGCACCCTGGCCGGGCGGGCATGCATCTTTTATATCTTACTCATTTGTCCCCCAAGGTTGGTCACCAGGCAACCTCCAGCTCTCCACTCCACAGGGATAGCCATGGACACATACCCCTTTAGGGTCCAGTAAAAATCTCCCTAGGAGAGGGACCTGGCTGCAGAGAAGCTGGGTCACCAGGCATACTCAGTTGCTGTGGCCCCTCAGACTAGTTACGCCCTATACCCACTGGCATTATGGGAAGGTACCGTGTCCCCACATTTCCACCAGCTGTTGGCATTATCCAGCTCGCTAAATTTTGCCACTCTGACTCACTGTAAAATGCTATCACCATTGCTTCATTTCATATTCTCTAATTTCTAATCATTTTAAAAAATATTTTTTATTGATTTCTTACAGAGAGGAAGGGAGAGAGAGAGAGTTAGAAACATCGATGAGAGAGTCATCAATCAGCTGCCTCCTGCACAACCCCTACTGGGGATATGCCCGCAACCAAGGTACATGCCCTTGACTGGAATCGAACCCAGGACCCTTCAGTCCGCAGGCAGATGCTCTATCCACTGAGCCAAACTGGTCTCGGCTAATCTCTAATCATTTTGAGCATGTCCTCATTTGCATGATGGCCTTCTGGTGCTCCTCTTCTGCAAATTACTTGCTCACAGCTTTTGCCCTGTTCGCACTGACCTTGCTATCTTTTCTGGTTCGTTTGCGTGAGTTCCTCACACAGTTTAAATCTGCATTGTCCAGCCCGAACTGTCAAATGTAAGGACTTGAAATGTGGCTGGTATAAACTGAGAGGTGCTGTGAGTGTGAAATACACACCTGATTTCTATGACTTAATGGAAAGAAAAGAGGATGTAAAATGTCGTATCTCATTAACTGCTTTTTTTAAATACTGACTACATATCATAATAATGGATATATTTGGCTAAACGAAATGTATTACTCAAGTTAATTTCCCTGTTGATTTTGTTTTTTACTACTTTAATGTGGATATTAAAACATTTATAATTGCCGAAGCCGGTTTGGCTCAGTGGATAGAGTGTCAGCCTGTGGACTGAAAGTTCCCGGGTTCAATTCCGGTCAAGGGCATGTACCTTGATTGTGGGCACATCCCCAATGGGGAGTGTGCAAGAGGCAGCTGATCGATGATTCTCTCTCATCGATGTTTCTAACTCTCAATCCCTCTCTCTTCCTCTCTGTAAAAAATCAATAAAATATATTAAAAAAATTTATAATTGCCCTACCTGGTTTGGCTCAGTGGATAGAGCATCGGCTTGCAGACTGAAAGGTCCCAGGTTTCATTTTGGCCAAGGGCACATGCCTGGGTTGTGGGCTTGATTCCCAGTAGGGAGTGTGCAGGAAGCAGCCAATCATTTATTCCCTCTCCATTCCTCTTTGAAATCAATAAAAAATAATAAAATAATAAAAAATTATAATTACATATGTGCTTGCATAGTTTTACTGAATAGAAGTGGGATAGAGAGCCCTTGTCAGTTTCAACAATTACAGATAATATTTAGATAGAAGTGGGCACTGTTCTAAGAATTTTATATTTATTAAACCATTTAACTCTCTGAATGGCCCTGTGAGCTAGCTACGAACAGTGTTCAGCTTTTCAAATATATCCTCCCATTCCATCATGTGATGATTTACTTATATTCTTGATATTCTTCATTAGAGAGGAGGAGAGAGGGATAGAGAGCTAGAAACATCGATGAGAGAGAAACATCGACCAGCTGCCTCTTGGATGTGCCCGCAACCAAGGTACATGCCCTTGACCGGAATCGAACCTGGGACCTTTCAGTCCACACACCGACACTCTA